GGCCTCCTCTACAAAGACCAAGGGAAACTGAAGGAGGCAGAAGAGATGTACATGCGAGCGCTGGAAGGATACGAGGAGGCACTCAACTCTGAGACCCTTCCGAGATACCGACCAGCCCTCAACACTATATGGACTCTCGCCGATCTCTTGGCAGCCAAAGGCGAGGTACAAAAGGCTAAAACGATGTACTCATGTGCTCTTGCTGGCTTTCAGGTTCTTCTCGGGCCATCCTGTGATCAATGTCAGCGGCTTAAGGATCGACTATTATCCCTTGATCTTTCGAAAGGTACTCTCTAATGATCAGGCTGGAATGATATCGACTAACTTTTTGACAGAAGAGGCCGCAGACGACATGGGCGGGACAGAGGAAGCGGCCGAGATGGTAGATGAGAAGGATGCAAAGAGAGGACGTCGGTCAGTTGTGAGAAGATTTATGCGCAAACTCGTAAGATGAAGGCAGTTAACGGTGATTCGACAAGGGATACCCCATTTAGCAATTGATGCCTATACTTTTTTGCTTCTCGATGGGATTGTCATGCGATGTTCATGATCAAGAGGGCAGTAATGTTGCAAAGATTTAGAGGCTGAAACGATACCGTGGCGTACCGATCATTAAGAATCGATACGTATACTAGCTTACGCCAGCGCCAAGTCCTACAAAGAGGCTGTAGAGTTCCTGGAGTTGCAAAAACACCGGAAGCCAATTTCTCACCCCACAGCTCCCGCTGTATCTTGATGACTGTTGACTGATGAGTATCTTCATGCAAGTGTTTCCCCGGCATCCGTAGCGTCGGTGTTCCCCCACGTTTTTCTCCACGTCGTGCCAGGGGCCCTACTGTAATTCGCCAACTCTAATTAGCGTCTTCAGCAGTTCTGGTTGCTTTCTAGCCAGGACCTCTGACCAATCTTGATCGTCATCCTGTCAACTGCTCCCCAGTCACCACCGCTAACAACCGCTTCTTGAACCGATGAATGTCAACCGTCCTTTGTGACATCAGTGCCAGAGCCCATCTGACCCTGAACAATTCTTCCACCAATTCCGATCCCCCGCTCCACTTTCTGTATGTAAGAATTATGCACCTTGCATCCCTCGCTACCCCGCGATCCGCAAGGCTATCGAATCGGAGGGGTTTGCATCTGTCTGCTGCACCCAGTTGGTCGAATTGACTTGTTACCCTTCGGATTCAGCATCCTTTGAAGACGGACTGCGTTGTCCTCGTGCTCAATCGCTTCTAGCCGTTGTCCATTTCTCTCCAAAGTCCGATCTTTCTCAGTTCGAGTTTGTTCTTCCTTTGTTTCCTCATCGCTTCGTCATTCGCCGTTTCCGTCTCGAGCCCTGATTTGATCTCTATTCCAATATGGCACCCGGCCTTCTGTACGATGATTCTCCTTCTCAGTATGATCCTCTACCATCGAGGATGGCTCGTTCATTCCAAGTCATGTATCCCGTTGCCGATCCGCCGCTCAATTCATCAACAGAACAGCCTCAACCTCTTTCCGGGCATATATGGATCGTCACTGGCCCAGCAGGCTGTGGAAAGAGCACGATTGCCGAATACCTAGCGGATGAACTTCGCGTGCCATATATAGAAGGCGATGAAGTAGGTTGAGAGAATAGGCAAGGCTTCGTTCATACGCTGAAGCCACAGCCACTGTAAACTCAAGACGGACCACTCACAATAATATAGTTCCACCCCGAAGCCAACATTAAGAAAATGGCTGCAGGTATTCCTCTGACGGACTCCGACCGCTGGGGCTGGCTATCCACTCTTCGAAATGAGGGCTTGTCGCAATTGCAACGGCAGTCCAACCCAACTCTTCCCCGACAGAGCAGCAGAAGTGCCATTCCAGACCCACGAAGTCGAGAACCTGAGCACGCCGTCGTGATGACCTGCAGCGCCTTGAAACGCACATACCGGGACATTCTCCGCGGCGCACTGGACGTCAGGCCCAGCGACGACGCCTCTCGTCCATCCGTCCCTCCATTCTCCCGGACCAATTCCAACCCTCCCGACCAACCCAATGTCCACGTCCACTTCATCTACCTTCGAGCCCCTGAAGATGTCCTGTTAGCGAGAGTCGGCTCACGGAAGGGCCATTACATGAAGAAGAGCATGGTGCGCAGCCAGTTCGCGTCGCTGGAGGAACCGAAGGCGGAGGAAGAGCCGGATGTAGCGGTGTTGGATGTCGGGGAGGGACATGATCCGACCGACGTTAAGAGTGCGGCGGTCGAGGTTGTCCGGAGTGCTTTGACTAGTTAACGGTCTTCATATCGGCGCACAATGGTGGAATTCATGGCGTAAGGTATGACTGAGGTCAACTGGTCTTGGTCTTGGAAAACCGGCAGAAATGGTATCCGGGTTCGGCGTTTTGAGGATTACAAACAAGTTACCATGCAGGTTCTCGCGGCTCTATGGCTCGGAGGATTTGTTACTATAGCTACAGGTAATGATTCGACGTAGATACAAGAATGTTTATATAATAATCGACATATCTCTCAATAGTACTACTGGAGATGTCGAGGATTGTAGTAACAAAATTCCTGAACCAGTAAAGGGAAGATGATACATGGAGGCCCTTGGACTCCGACTCTCTGAGGCGAATGCGGGGATGGTTTGGCATGTGATTTATACTCAACGACCCATATCTCGACCACCGACAGACTTAATACCTGTAACTTAAGCCCATCATGCCATGTTGACGCTAAAACGTCCCCAATGGCAACAATCCGTTAATTTTACCCCCTCGGCATCCTCTCCGAATGGCGAGCCATGCAGCCCTTCACGCTCTGCATGCGCCTCAGGTGGATTGACCATGTCCCGCCTCCTGAACCCGTTCGGGTTCCTGAAGTCCGTCGTCAACATCGTCCTTGAAGTCTGCGTCTTCTGGCAGCTGGTATGTCATCTCGAACCCTCTTCTCTCCCCTCCAGGCCATCGCCCCCGAGGCGCTGGCGAAGCGCGTGGAGTCCCTGGCATCGCGTTCCGTGAGTGCGAGGTTGGCTGATGTGGTTTCGGCGCCGGTACAGCGACTCTACGCTTGGTGGTTCGAGAAAGCGCCGCAAGATGCGTTGCTGGAGAATTTAGGCGAGGCAAGACTGTTTGAAGAATGGGAAGCAGCGGCTTTCCAGTTGGACGAGGTGCTTGGGTATGATTTGTGGTATGTTCACCAGCGCTTTGTCCGAAAACCGTCCACTCCACTTCCGATATCCAGCTCGACCACACGACCGTAAGAGTCGGGTTACACAATAGGACACTTCGTTGACTGTCCAAACAGGCGTCAAAACCCCGCCTCCAAATCCTACGACTTCCGCCTCATCTACTCCCGCCTCCAAGCCATCATCTCCGCCCGCGAAGACGACGATATCCTCACCCTCGTCTCCCTCCTGCGCTCCGGCCTCGTCCGCAATCTCGGCAACATCACCACCCCCCGCCTGTTCTCCCGCGCCTATGCCGGCACCAAGCTCCTCATCGAAGACTATATCACCCAGGTCGCCTTGGCCGTCGACTACGTGACCTCGTACCCGACGTCCGCGAGCCTGGCGAACGGGCTGACGCTCCAGGCGAAGTTGGACGTCCTACACGATACCCGGCAGGCGTTTGGGCGGTCGGCGCTGGTGTTGCAAGGCGGCTCGATCTTTGGGCTCTGTCATTTGGGAGTGGTGAAGGCCTTGCATTTACGGGGTCTGCTACCCCGGATTATTGCGGGGACGGCCACGGGTGCTTTGATGGCCGCGTTGGTGGGCGTACATACTGAAGATGAGTTGCTGGCATTCCTTAGTGGGGATGGGATTGATTTGAGCGCCTTTGCACAAGGGGAAGGGGCGCAGGAGCAGCGGGATGGAAATGGGGTGGACGGCAACAGGGAAGAGGGAAGTGTGGGGGTAAGGGGGTGGGTAGATTTAAAGACGTTGAAGACGAGGGTTAAGCGGTTTTTGAAGGAGGGACACTTCTTGGATGTTGGGGTGCTGGAGCAGTGCGTGAGAGCCAATGTCGGCGACCTGACGTTCGAAGAAGCGTACTCCAGGACGAAACGGGTGTTGAATATCACCGTGAGCGCTGAGGGAGGCGGCGTGCCAAACGTTCTTAACTACCTCACGGCCCCTAATGTGGTAAGTCTACCAGTGCTCACTTTCACCTAGATTTGAATTTCTAGTCCTAACGCATCATAGCTCATCTGGTCTGCCGCCCTCGCCTCCAACACCACCACCTCCTCCCTCTTCCGACCTGTCACACTCCTCTGCAAGTCCGAGTCCGGCGAAATCCATCCCTGGTCGACCGCCGAGCACGCCACCTTCCACCCCTGGACGCATACCGCCTACTCCGAGCGCGAGTCCCCCCTCGCCCGCATCGCCGAGCTGTTCAACGTCAATCACTTCATCGTCTCCCAAGCGCGGCCGTACATCGTCCCGTTCCTCCGGTCGGAGCTACACCATCCACCCCCGCCGCGCCGCCACGCGTTCCGGTTCCTCACGCGGCTAATTCCCCTGCCGCCCATGATGATCCCGCGGTTGGTGGTCATGGAATTGCACCATCGCCTGCATCAGCTGGACAACCTGTCGTTGCTGCCTCCGTCCATCCGCCGGTTCCTGCTCGACGAAAACGTCCCGGGCGCGTCGTTGACCCTGGTGCCGGAAATCAGTGCGCGGGACTTCCTCCGCTTGGTGGAGAATCCGTCGCGAGAAGCGGTGGAACATTGGATCTTGCGGGGGGAGCGGTCGGTGTGGCCGGCCGTGGGGGCGTTGAAAGTGCGCTGCGCGGTTGAGGTGGAGCTGGACCGCGGGTATCAGTTGGTGAGGAGGCGGAAGCCGTTCGATAAGAACGGGGGGAGTGCGGTGGAGAGGGTGGTGAAGGAGACGAATCAAGGGGGGAAGAGGAAGGAGAGGGCGATGAGTTTGGGGGAGCATGGATAATGTGTACACGATAGGTTGTTTGCCACGAGGTTATGATATCATGGAAATATGCCGTTCGAGGAACCATAAATTGGTGGCTAACATCAACATACGCCCCATCCCCCCAACTATCATCTTACGAGATCACATAGACTGAACTCAGTGATACCATCCGCTCGGACTGGTGCCGAAGTAACGTGGATGTTCCCAACTTTTAGAGGGGCAGAAGAGGCCAACCGAGTCTAGACGGTGATTTGATCGATCGATTCAAAGTCTAAAGTATAATCATTGCCTTAATGACTTCAATTATTGCTCTCACGGCTAAGGAGAGGAAACTAAATTGACTAGGGGTAGAAATGGGTCCCTAGAGCCGCAGTATAGACGGACGCATCACCGAATCACCGAACGAGCGGAAGAATACGCGACCTAACGATATATTTCCCGGGTCTCCGATCAGCCGCCTGATCGGATTTTGGAGCTCACAGCTCAAAGCTATAGAAACAGGGGTATTAGAAAGCATAAAGAGACATTGTCCATGAGATCGATGTGACTGTAGCAAGATTCCGGTCTCTCCCCAGCAGCATCTTAAAGGAAGAAAGTTAACGCAGCCATGAGGGCTGAACCCACCACCCAAACCCCATCATTGACCGCGTTCGGTACCGCGGCACCGGTGAAGACCGGCGGCGAAGAGGTCCGCGAGGGCAGCGAGGAGGTCCGGGGCGGCGTAGAAGAGTTCACGACCGGAGGCGGCGTGTAAATGGGAATGGAGGTGTCGGGCGGAGCGGTGCTGTTCGGCTTTGGCCCACTGGGACCCGGCGCGACGTCGCACGCGTCGGAGAGGGGTTTCCAATTGGTGCACGCCAGGCGCGACTTGTCGGCCAAGTGGATGACCACTGATCGGTTGCCGAAGAAGGCTCCGATTCCGGGTTTGAGGGAGGCGTACTTGTCGATGAATCTGGAGGATTAGTGGATGTACGCGGGTTGGGAGAGTGAGAGGGCGCTTACGAGGCCGAATAAGATTCGCCGGACAGAGCACCGTGCTTGCCGGACAGATCGCCAACCTCGCACGTCTCGGGCTTGGTCTTATCGCACGGAGTGTCTGCGCCGCGGATATAGGGGTCAAGATGAGCTAGCGTCGCGTTGCAACCACCGTCCGCAGGGACGGGAGCCGCGTGAAGATGGAAGCCTGGAGTGATTGTCAGTCCGGGAACTTTTGTCGTGTTGTTTGCAAAGCATGCGAAATGAAAACTGCGACCTCGACTAGAACAATGTCCACAAATCGAATGCTACCAGGAAGCAGGAGCATTTCCAATGGGGCCGGTACCGGCTTCGAGCGAGCTTAAGCCCCCCAAACATTGGTGTATAACAGTGCGGAAATTGAGTGAGTCCTGACTTCATCCCCGCAAATGGACGGGGATGCAGAAAGTCCCGCAATATTGAAAGTAACGTAGGGCCTCAAAGAATCTGCGGAGGCCCTCAAATGCGCGAGTCGGTGCGAAAATGAATCGAGGAAACAGCGGATGACTGACCGAACGGGCCCGAATCAGCGGGCAGGCCAGAGACGGACACGGAGAAGTGCACGCCTTCGCCATCGGGTCCCGAGGACGCGACGATGGAGCCGCTGACCTTGGATGAGCCTTTCGGGGAGAAGCTCGCTACGTAGACGGCGCCGAGCGGGTTGTCGGTGGTCTCGGCGGCGTCCCCAAGTTTTCCGGTAGTTTGGCCGAAGGCCACGGCGGCCATGGCTGAGGCGACGGTGAGCTTGGAGAAAATCATGGTGGATGGTAGCTAGTCGTGAAGGAGTTGTATTGGCTGTGGTTTCCAGAAGTATTTGATTCGGGGGCAAGTCAACGGCTGCTCGAGATGCAAACGACCTCACTCCACAATCTATTCACCGTCGATTAGACAAGCCCGATTAATGAAGGAGGATGAGAATAGCGTAGTCGTCAATCTCAGCAAGCGGTGTACCTAAACGATGTAGGGTTATTCCACGGAAAGAGCTAATAAAATCCTTGACCGTCACAAATATGCCTCTCGTTAACCACCAAATACACAGTTTCTGGTGCAATTGGCTTTCAAGAGGAATGTGTTGTGGCAACGAAACCTTTCTGCGAGGAAAGGATGACGACGAGCTGGGATTGCGACTGCGAAGAAGAATCCACAGGAAACGAGAGGCTGGAGGTACACAAGGTGACTTGAAGTACAGAATGTGAGGTCGAAGGCTAAGGCGTAGGAAAATCCGGGACGATCATGACGGGAACAAACCGATATAAACGACGGGAGATGTGTTTCTCAGGCCCCCCGGCCCCTTGCAGATGTCCTCATCCGAAGTCCAAGCTCTTTCATTTTAGAACTCACTCAACTCAGAAACAACCTTATGCCATCCTGGGTTGTGACTGGCAGCGTGCATGGAACAGGATGACGGGACCAGTAACAATTAAAGGAATGAATCAAGACGAACGAATGGAACGCCCTGGTAGCCGGCTGGAGGGAGGATACACCCTGAAAGGCTGTTTCGCAGCCACACTGTGGATTAGATGGAACCGAACAAAACATCTTCTGCCCCGTTGAACAAGCTTTACCAAGCCTTTTTGAGGTTTCAGTGTGATTAGGTATGGAGATTGCCAATGGGGGCTGTTTGGACTCTTTTGACTTTTGAGCGAGATAATACCTGTCCAATGTCCATCCTCTGAGCTCTGAACGCTGACGGGATACGGAGTACGGCTGTGCCACCATCTGTCGTTTGGGAGTTGGGACTGTGCCGCATTACTGGTTGAAAATTGAAACGTCCTCCTGCGATGAAAGAGAACACTACAAGGCTAAACTCTAAGCAAGGAGATTCCGAAATGAGAGTGTCGATCCTCCACTCCAAGTCGATAGCTTCCCCAGCTATCAGCTCAGCCCACAGGTTCATGCTACTGTGCTCCTCGTTAGTCGTTGGCCGTTGCCATCCATTTCTTCCAATAGTTCCAAAGTACTAAACTCATCCAAGCAGTAAGCACATTGCAATCACATCGCATCACATTCCCATGGTGTCAAGGATCGGCCAAATCAAAGACATATTGGATTGCCATCGAATATTCCTGAGTCTTGTTGACTATCTTCGCTTGGCAGAACCGCTTCACGGCGCCAATCCACTGCTCCGCCAAGACGACATAACTTTCTCAATCTCCTCGGGAGGCTGAGCAGGTTCAACGGTCGGTGATGGTTTCCCAAATTCCCTATGGTCCTCGGAGGCTGGGATCACACAAATCATTCGTACAACAGCTTCGGGCTGTTGTGCTTGTGCTTCCGGTGCCAGTCAGCAGTAAGAGTGCAGATCTGCACGCTGGCAACAAGTGGTGACCGTGGCGTGTATTATGACACGGCGGTTGGACAACGACGGCTATTCGACAACAAACGTCGTTGTCCCAGTCTCCCAGCCCCCCAGCCTTCCAGCCTTGTCAAATATTTAGCAAGTCAATCGATCCCACATCTTCGGTTACCTTGGCCAGGGGTATTACAGAAACCCCCAATTTGTGTCTGTTCTCCTGTTCCTATCCCCTTACATTGACTTATTAATTTATTAGGGCTTAGGAGTCTCTAGGGCTCTCGCGAAGTGTAAATGTAATCCAGGTAGATTGGGAGGAGGGTGTTCATCTACATGGTATGGTTCGACATGTAATACACTATGCAGCGTATATCATGGAACCATAGCATTGAATCATAGAATCATCATTGAATTCGCAATTAATGAGGGGCTTAGATGTTCGACGTTGATTTCTCGCAGCCCTCCTTCGTTTCATCCCCTTGACAGTTGACCGCGGTTTCTCCCGCTCACGTGCGGACGCTAATGTTTGGCGCTGACAGCCACTGTCGGTTCAGTGGAGTGTTGATGATGCGAAAACGAGAACCGGAACCAGCCTTTCTTCTTCTGGAAGTGGGGCACTTGGCAGTTGGCACTAAAAATCCTCACGGCTCACACTTTAAGATATGGGTTCATAAATCATGGGTAAGTACATAGCAAATAGCAATAATATTCAATACTGGTCAGTTCGTAGATCGCTGGGATCTTGGAAGCAGGGGGCTAGGGGCTCGACGCCTGGAGCACCGACAATTGGTGCAAACTGCGAAATGTACGGAGTACGGGAACAATATCTGATCCAACCTCTCCTTTTCTCTTAATTCCCTCGTCCATTCGCTCCATCAAATACGGTCAACAACACCGTCTCGTTATTCATGGAGGCATGGCCCTGCCTTGACAGTGCCTGCGAATTCAGCTAGGTATCATCCATAGAAGAAATGACTCCTGGGCGAAGTATGACTGCGCTTAGCGAAGCAATTCAAAATGGACTGTAGCACGCGCTCGAGGTATCGATTTGATATCTCGGCTTTGTAGAGGAAGATTCTATCGTATTCTATCTCGATCCAATAAGCATATTGATTTTCACCCCTACGCCTTTCCCTGCTCAACCGGTCCTAGGAACGCTGTAAGAAAGTCAATGGATTTTGTTCTCTATTCCCGTCATTGTCATCTCGCGTCGGCTCTCTGAATTATGCCATCCCTTCCTGTTCAGGGACGATGCTGTTCAATTTCCCCTTCTCAATCGCAGCTTGGACGTTGCCGATGTTCCATTCCTCCATTGCAGTCTGGGTCTAGCAGTGGTGTTAGCATGGTACTTGCAGAATACTCTCCGAGGTCTTCCTTACTTCGACAGTCCAAGTTCCCATATGCGGCACAAGCATCACATTTGGATTGGCCACAAGACCCGGGTGGATTTTCGGCTCCTCTTCGTAGACATCTAATCCGCAGCTCCGTACCCGACCAGAATCGAGCGCACGCACTAGAGCGGCTTCATCGATCACTGCTCCTCGCGCGGTGTTCACGATGACCACTCCTTGCTTCATTTTGGCGAATTCGGCGTCAGAGATGATATGGCGGGTGTGTTTCTACGGGGAGGTTAGCACAGTTCGCTTCCTATTGCTCCTCGGGGGTACACTCACATTCAACGGCAAATTCAAGCTCAACACATCGCTCTTGGCCAGCAGCTCGTCAAAACTCACGTACTCAGCACCTCCACACAGCTCCGCGTCCAACTTCCGGCGATTGTGATAGATGACTTTCATCTCAAACGCTTCGGCTTTCTTCTTCAGGTTCCGTCCGATGCCACCCATGCCGAGGATTCCTAGCACCTTTCCTTGCGGATCTTGACCGAGGGGTGGAAGCGGGGAGCCCCTCCATTTGCCATCGCGAAGAGCAAGCATCGAGGTATTGAAACCACGCAGTGCCCCGATGATCAAGAACATGTTTACGTCGGCGGTGGCATCATTGACGGCGGTGGGGGTATTAGAGACCAATATTGGAGGGTCCCGCTCAGAGCAAGCGTGGACATCCACCTGATCGTATCCCGCCCCTTTTTTGTCGTTAGCTGTGGAATAGCTCTGCCCAATATATTCTAACGTCACTCACCATTGTGACTGAGGAACTTTAAGCTCTTCGGTAACACCGCAACCAGCTCCTGGTCGATCATCCCAGTGACCGCGACGCTGTCGAAGGTTCGATAGGCGGCCACGACACCATCGAATCGTCCGCTTTTGCACTCCTCGAGGAACTCGGCTCGGTTCGTCGAGTTCGGTTCCAGAACGTCCGCGATCGACGCGACCGATTTCTCCCAGACTGCGCCTGCGCTGTGCAATAGGAGAATATGAAGTCAGTTAGGTATCTCATTAAATCCGCACCTCACTGTAGAGGAAATATATCATTCCCTAAGGCGGTAGGTATCTTTCGATACCAATTATCTCCCATCCATTATTCGCTGGGTTGGGTGCTTGGTGTCCTAAGCAGACCAGAGATGGGATATCGTGAAATGCTCCACATACTGTTGGATTTCGCCCAAGAGCAACACTTTTGGTTTGGCCATATCTGCAGCTCTTACTACCACTTCAATCCACTAACCGCAATTATGGTGGTTCGCTTTGTCTGGTACCGAAGTGCAGTTGAAAACACCGTCTGACGCAAACTGCCTCACCTCGCCCGAGTCACTCCCACAGAGGACCTAGTTCACTTAAGCTAGCAAATGGTCACGATCAGCAACCGGGCGTGATTCGAGGTAGCAAAATTGGAAAAAGAAATGTGTAGGTTGCTGCAAATAATGCCGGATTCTTACCAGTTGCGAGCCCCACGTCACTGCGGCAGTTCCTCCATCTCAGGCTGATTGTGTCAAGTGGAGGGGCGATTTCGCAACTCCACTCCGACTTAGCAGGAACCGAACGGAGTTACTTACTTTGTTGCTGACCAGTTAGCCACGTTTTGATCCTGCACAGATGAATCGACACCGAATGCAGAAACCCGGCTATGCTGCAGAGCGCTAGATTTATGCAGCATACAAGCACCAGTGTTGTAAATATACTGACTCAACTGAGGGTCTACTCTAAGGTCTTTCGGGTGGATTGGGGACTTGCGCTTTCCCATATTTTGCCCAATTTCTTCTGAGAGATTCCGATTTTACCTCGACAAATTCTATCCTTACATGTCAACAAATCTCTTTATCATACCAGCCTGGTACAGCAGCTGCAGGACTCGAGTCGTGACTCGACCCGGAAAGGCGACATCGGGATCCGTCCTGGCCAGCAAGTAATGTGCAGCCGATGAAGAGTCGAGTGTTTCAACGCTAGTGGAGAGATATTCTCGTGCAGCATATGCAGCCAGGGTGTATTCTCTATCGCGGTCAACTGAACCAATATCCTTCGATGGAATTCGGTTGACCAGATCCCGGGACTTGGGTAAACTACGCAGAGCAGGAGACATCGATAGCGGTTGGCTACTTGGATGCAGGATGCAGAGATATCATACTCTTTTCCCTACTTTAATGGCCAATTAGTGGAAGACGCGCGGTTCTGTGCTGCGGTTCTGTGCTGCGGTTCTGGACGATATACGGCTCAATTTACTCCACAGGTTGATCTTATCACTGGTATGATGCGTTAGGAACTGCCATCCTTTTGCTAATTATTACGTTGTTCCTGTAATCTGAGCATCTCCTCTGCCCATCCTTCCAATTCACCTTGTTTCCGGGCGAGTCGCTCCTTGCAGTGTACCACATGTGGGCTAATACCCTGGGATATAGAGTATATCCTCCACAAGTACATTTTTTCCGGCCCCGTGCTCTTCTATTCTCCAACCACTAGAGTCTTCTCCATCTTGATCCATTTACTGATCTGTATCATATCTATACACTCGGCGATAATGCATACACGTCGGATTGGGTGATCATTCGAGCGCCTCATGAATTCGTTAACAGTCTGGGTTCCCAATTTACGCAGCGCTTGCATATACACTGCATTACCGCGGTCGATCCGATATGTGCTCTCAAAGTTGGCAGGTGGAAGATACTGGCTAGGATCGTCGGGTCGCGATATGACAGTCGTGGCAGAACTTCCTCGCCCAAGGATGCTGTCCTTGCTGAATGTTATGCCGACTTGAAGAATCTGGACCGGTAAATCAGTTGCGACTGTGAGAGCTGTTTCTGGCTAAGCATGGCCGTCAGCCAGACATTTCGACAACATCAAAGTAAATGAAATTCTCACCCAGAACCACCCCACCCGCCCTGCGCTCATACTCTCTTCCATTCCTAGCTTAACATCTAGGATTTCTAATCGAGACCGGCAATTCGACAGTATATCGAAATGCTCCTTTCCCCAACTGTGCCTAAGTCCCGTATCCGAAGTTTTGATGCGCCGGGAGCTTTCTTTATGGACCTCTAGAACGTCTTTCTCAATGGCTTTCCAGATCACGGAGTCGTTGTTCCATATCACCATCTCTTCAAGCCGGCGGATTGAGAGAAAGAACTTCTTAACCATCTCAGGGCCTTGATCCCTGCTGCAATTTCCCCACGCCTGTGGCACGCAGTCAAAGCCGAGCCGTATCGATGTCAAGTTGGGAATTCGTCCGGTTAACCTTTGTAGGAGACGTGGTGGAGAGTACTCGTTGAGATCAAGACGCACTCCATTCAAACCTTGGACTAGGGCGTTGCAATAAGTTGGGTTGATTCGGTAATTAAGCGGTGGCAGCCTCAACTCTTCGAGGGGTAGTAATATGTCGGAGTTGCTTAAGGGGAGTTGTATCTGTTCGTATGAGCCTGTCCCAGGAGCGGGGATGCCTTGCTCGATATCAATTCGGAGCACTCGTAGTGATCTGCTACCAACAACAAGCTTTTTGAATGGTCCGAATTCAGAGAACACTTCTCTGTCTCCCGAGAGACGATCAGCAAGCAAATTCAACGATAGGGTGTGGAGGCTGGACGAGCCCAGTAGTTGCCGGTCAAGCTTTCGCCCTTTGCGTGCTCGATTCCTGACGCTAAGACGGGCTGCCCGCTGCCGGATGGTGCTTCTCCAGCATGCGCAGGACTGACACAGGAACCATCGATGATGTATACCAACTTCACCGTCGTCAGCATGCTCTTAGAATCGTTCGGTGAGATCGAAAGAACCATACCCAAAACAACGCAAATCTTTCAAGTTGCCAAGTATTTGCATGAGAACCTCAGGTTCCAAGTAGTCCGGAAGATCACCATCGAAAGGGCCTATATGGAGTTCCTGAACGATGGAGCATAGCGAGTCACTGAAGTTGGTCAAGCGCGTCGATACCGCTTGATCTACTAGATTGAGGCTCCCTCTGTCGCGCAGAAACACCTTTTTGAAAAACCTGGATTCCGAAGCTCTTCTATACTCTCCGGACACCAAACGGAAGTTATTGAAATTCTCAATTCCTTCTTTGTTAGACAGGTCGAATACTGGCTTCTCCCATCCTTTGGTGTACCTGCTGCAGTCAATTTCAAATAGCCAGTTAACCTTGCTGTCGGAAGGTAGTGTTGGACTGCAGCATTTGTCCAATATCATATGAAAAATATCATATGGGACTGTTATCACTTATCAGGCTTAAACCCGTCGCCATTGGGTTTTGATTTCTCCTAAAGAAATTAGAACGGTGTTGACTGAAATGAGGATAGTAGACGGAGAGAGCTGTCGTCGTTGAGTCACACTTTAAGAAATGGGATAATCATAGCCATCCTAGGCTCCTGGCCTTTTAATGTGACCACTCATAAGTTAGGAGGCCAGTGGGATATACTACACCCACTGAACCAGTCTGAAATTCAATGCTCTAAAATGTGAATCGCCTTACAGATGTAAGATGGCTGTGGCCGCAAATGATTATTCGACGGCATTGTTTCGAGGGTGTTTCGGCTTCTCCATTCCAATCGACGTGGGACGGATCGAATCGACTCGCACGTAAGGGAACTCCTGCTTGAAACAATGTTGTTCATAGTATGAGTTAATGTTGTAAGCGCAACGATCGAGGCAGACCGGCTGAACGCACATTTTGCGACAGTGTGGCTGCTGGATCTAAAGATGTTAACCAATCCAGCGGTGATCTTAAGGGTGATGGACTGGTTAATCCAATAGGTTGGGGAATGCGATTCCAGGGAGCTAACCGTGATGGGGAACAGCGCCACTCGCCAGAGGCTTTGGATTGACCTCAAACCAACTGTTCTGGCCGACCTCGATGACATACTGAATTTAAAGGCTAGCATAGCCGTGTGAAGACACTGTTCAGTTGCCATTGATCAGAGGAGCAACCCCATCCTGCTTCGATTCCAGATCATGTTGCTCATCGTCAAACCTCAAAGAAGCTGGACTCCAGAGTACAGAGAGGTCTGCCGTCGAGGGGGCGTGTGCAACCTTACCTTCGATCTACGCTAAGAGTATAACTGCGAGCAACCATGGAATGCCACATGGACGGAGGCGGTTGCCGAGTAGTAGATTATTCAGCGGGGAGGTCTGGACAAATTGCTAGGATAGCATTCTGGTGACCGCGTCCATTGGCAGTCTCATCACCTGGTCGAGATATTTGGACATCACACCAAGTTGTGAACGTGTCTATGAATTCGATTGAATGTTCGATTTTGAGCAACTCGATGCCGATGCTGCCATCATAAGATCGCAAGAACACGATCGGTCCATTCACAGGATTTGGTAATTGAACCAGTCACGCCGCTAATGCCCCGTAGGAAACCATATGCCCATTTTGAATCGCTCATGCCGACGCATCCTTCTTCCCCGTCTCACGGCCCTTTGCTGCCCTCTCGAGAATGGATTCCCGGTCCTTGTCCAGCTTCAAGGAGGTGATGGAGACCTTGGAAGCGGCAATTCCGATCGGGACCGACTGGCCATTCGACTTCTCTCGGACGACGGAAGCGATGTGGAGGACATATCGAAGACGGTAGACGGAGGTGACCTTGCCGGTGCGGCCCTTGTTGGCGCCTCGGGTGATGATGACTTCGTCGTCTTTTCGGACGGGCATGGATCGCACCTGGCAAAAGCATTGTTAGTTTCAAGTGTCACCGCTTGGTAGCGCGTGCCCAGAATAGCGAGTTGGGCAGCAAGAAAAGGCGGAAGCGGTTCAGTGATCGTACGTTGTATTTATCCCTCAATTCCTTGGAAAGAGGAGCGCTCATGATCACTCGTCGAACGCTGGACGGAGCGCTGAAATGCGCCTTGCGCGACTTCCTCCGCGAGGAGGCGATCCCTGATGTAAAGAATTAGCTGACGATGGTCGGCATTGTCTAGAGAAAGCTACGAACCTGAGGTGAGTTGTTTCGTCATGGCGATGGTGTTGGTCGGAGTCGCCTTACAAAGTGATGATCGTGAGGATACAAAAATGTAGTGTGGAAGTGGAAGTGCGTGCCAAGACGCTTAGTAACCGACGTTGTGAAGCGGATTTTCCCAGAGCCGATGGGTGGTCCGTGCGCAATCTACGCTCGAGACATTCTGAGTTTCTGACATTGAGACAAAAAGGCCACCGGACATAAAACTCTCCAATCACGTGGCTTGTCCTGTCGATCACGTGCATTGGCCTGTCGCGTTCCTGTCGTGATTTGATATCTGCCACCATCAGAAGTCACAGCACAGTAGTGAACTCCAATTCTTCGCGTCGTGTCACCGCTGGTTGCCATTTCTTCAACGCTTTGGTCGATTGCACCGCTAATGTCATATTTCATGTTCCCTTGCGCATTGCATTCACCATGATCGCATCTAGTAGGCTTCGAAATGACCAACATACTAGCAACTAGTCGCGAACGGAAGGTGCGACGGTGGAGCGTCGAGTACTTTTTGTCATGTCACAATATCCGAATTACTTCGGCCATAACACGCACCAAACGGGCCAAGCGGTATACAATACCTACCAACAATCGCAAGGACATTCGTATCCAACCTCGACCGCCTCCTCGCAATACCAGCACACTGCGACGGCTAGCGGTAACTCATATGGTTCGAACCCTTGGTATAGGGCAGATGGAAACCACACCGCGTACGGAACCTCAGTGGGCGCGCCGAGAATCAGTAATTCAGACCAGACCAGAACCACCAGCATCCGCACTTCTGGCCTCCCTCAATACAATTTGTCCTTGAACAACTCCGGCTACGCCACCAATATCTGCACAACTGATCCCTTGGGGAATACTACATCTTATGGAAGCAGTGCGAACACGACTCGTCAGCCCCAAATGCAGTATTCTACAACGCAAGACTATTCGGTTGCTCAAAATGCATACGCCGGTCAAGCACGACCGCCATCGGTTAACTCCGTCTCTTCGGGACGAGTAACAAGTCACCAACGCCAGTCGCCCTCTGTGCATGATCGACAACAACACGAGCAAAGTCAACACGCGATTTCGAACCTTCAGCAACCGCAACGAGTACAAGATCCAATCCAGAGGTCTACAAGTCCTGCCCAGTTACAAGCGTCAAGGAACCTTCAGAATGTCAGTCGCGGCTACGGTGACCAATGGCTGATTAGCAGGACGTTGCCCGCTGTCACTCAACCTGCATCAAGCATGCACCCCTCGTTGTTTGCTCCGGTTGAGCCACAAGCCATTACGGTGGACCCCACACAGGTCTACGACCCCCGGGCCGAACATCAGCGTCGACTCGAAGCGGCACGGTTACAGGCAGCCGAGGAGGAGGCGACGCGTGCTGCGCAAGAAGATGAAGAGAAGCGGTTAGCGCAAGAAGCCGAAGAGAAGAAACAGGCAGAGGGAGCGGAACGTGCACGTAAGGAAGCCGAGCGCAAAGCGGAAGAAGCATGGCGCATCAAGACCGCAGAGCCAAAGAAAAAGAAGACGCAGAAGAAGAAACCGGTGGAAGAGGACGACGCGGCACAGTTCATGGCGCTCGTGGCGCGGATGAAAGAGAAGAATCCGTCTCTGTTGGCCCAGATGTTATCAGAGACGAAGACGGATCTCTCTCCGGCCGCGTCATCCACCGCGCCTAAACAATCGTCGAAGCCGCTGGGTGGTTTCGGTGCGGCGAACCGTGCTAAACCTTTGCCAGCTCAGGCAAGGCCCACCCCTGCACCCGCCCTTCCCTGCCCGACGATCCCGACATCCACACCTATACCCGGCCAAAAGTCTACCAGACCTCCGGGGACGACAGTCTGGCCAATTGAAAAGAAGGGAAAGATCTCGGAGGCCGCGGCGCAGTACCTAAATGGCATCCCTACCAATGCCGGAAATCCCGTCACAAAGGAACTGGTACACGCAATGCTAGACGATAATCCATCTTATATCGGGTTGTGCGATCGACTGGAACGCATGGGGCTGCGCCTAGAAAGAGGCACCTTTGCTAGGACATTGCTCTCTGCAGCCCCGGATGTCAATGCTGCAGCCCCACAGAAGACAGCTGCTCCCCACGGCGTAGCTAGTCCTACTATTCCGCCGCCGATTCCGCTTCAACCGCACACGCAGGCGACACCGTGGCTTCCATCAGCTCAGGATATCAGCTCATTCCCGCATCCAGGGCAAGGTGGACCCGCTTATGGCGAACCAAGCCAGGGTGTTATTCAGAGTCCATACTTCGTCAACCGGCCGGAGCCAAGTCCTGGTATCGCAAGTAGCGTAGACTCCCCTGCCTCCTCGAAGCCGAGGACAAAGGTTACTACGCTACCCAAACCCATTCGGTTAGACGAGAAACACCCAGTCAAACCACCGGCAACCAAGGAAGAAGCTGCACGAAAACGCAACTTCTCCGAGATCGCGGATCTATCGATGATGAGCAGTGATGAAGACGACCTACCGCCGTTGAAGATGATGAAACTGGCCCCGTATACCGTTCAATACGCAACCCAGCCTCCATACCCACGTCCGAACCAAGGCCAAGTAGTGAATGGTGCTTCAAACATCGACCCTCAGATTCAGAGTCAAGCGGATCAAAATGGGCAGATGCATATGGTGATGAATGCGCCGACTCTGGCGTCCAACACGTATCGACCTCATATCAGTGACGATGTGAAGCTAGCGGATCCAATTCAGCGACAGGACGCTATTCGTCGGTCACACTATAATGTGAAGACCATTGCGCGGGATGTGCTTATTGCTACCGGCAAGTGGCCGGACCTACGAGCTCTCAACTATCACTTGGAACCCTTGCGGCAGAATATGCGACAAATCGACGGCAACTCCGATTTGAGTACGCTCCACTGGAACATTATTGACCCCGGGGAGCCGGATGATCTTCAACAAGATAATGCCGATTCGGTGATATCTGATGCAGATGACGAGGGCGAGGAAACCGTGAACATGAATGTCTTGGTTCCGCGTGAGCAGAGCGTCACAACTGTTGGTTCTGCAGAGTCAGCTCGGCCACATCACGTGGGCATCAAACCGCGGAGGGGACGACCTCCACCTGCAGGACGCAGACAAGCACCTGGATCTCACTTCGTCAATTATTCCGACAGCGCCAGGCCCAGTGCGCATTTGTCGCAACCGAATCCGAAACCGAAGCCTCAAGCCATCAATAATTCCCCCGGTCCAGCTGGCGGTATGGGCTACGCTGCATTTCGCTCCCACCAAGTTGATGCGGACGGCAACCCTGTCAAAAAGAAAGGTCGACCAGTTGGGTGGAGGAAGAGTATCCACTCCAAAGCCGTTCAAGGCCAACACCACTCCGGCCCGCCATCTCAAGCTGCAACAAACTCCGGTGCCGTACACAGTCCGCATCTTGCACGAATTGGCACGGGTGGGATTCTGATGGTTAACGCCCGTCTAGGTCAACATGAGTCCCCCGCAGCCGCAAAACGCCTGCGAAGCCCCGGGCGGCTGGAGTTTGCGTGCCGGTGGAAAGGATGCGGCGCCAGTCTCCATAACTTGGAGACGTTGAAAAAGCATGTCCTGAAGATGCATGGCAAGCCGGACGAGGCCAGCCGCAAATTCGCGTGCGCGTGGCAAGGCTGCGGGAAGTACCCCGAGCTTTCGACATTTCCGCTATTCTGGCAACATATCGACGACTCACACCTGATTCCACTGTCATGGACGCATGGCGACGGCCCTGTCAGCGGGGTCTCAGGTGAGTAAAATAGTGCGATCGATCGAGGAGCGAGCGGTTTCGACGGATAGATGCCTTACGATGACGAACACGTAGACTATGACACCGAGTTATCGGACGTATATCTGAGAGATTCTCGGGGGAGACAGGTCACTCCTCGCATTTCTCTTTCCGACAACTTTGGAGAAACACCGATTTCTCACCGCCCAGTACCGAGGCCTAGACCTCCCAGGAGGCCACCACTGCATGGTCCTGGGAAGAAGACGCCCGAGGAGAAGGCCTCGGAATCGGTGCAGGTGCTGGAACGGAAGAAGGAGCTGATCGGGCCGGGCATTGACAAAGGCGGCGCGACGCTCGCGAACGAGAAGCGGAGGGCGGGGTTTATTGATGATGCGGGGTTCGAGGAGGAGGTCGATTCAGATTGAAGGGCAGCCAAGCGACAGCATGCTTTATCACTAGCGAATAACTTCGGGGTTCCCCGGGGTTCTGAATACACTTTTCGGGAGCGAGGCACGAAGGGGTCAAATTAGGAAAGGGGGCTCTCGTGAGTAACACGGGTTGCTCTGCTCGATTTGAGACTTGTATCATACCTATGAACGCCACGTATATGGCTATCATCTCAAACCATGCCGCTGAAAATCGTTTACGATGTCAGAACTCAGAATGCCAGGGAATGGGCCACGGGGATCGGGCGGGAAAGCCTCAAAAACACCAAGACGTCTCCATCTAATCGTGATATCAAGTTGCCGCTCATGGTTCCGCCGCGCCCCCACCGTCGCCATCCGTACCCCCCGACCCACCTGGCGCACCACCCAGCCCGAGCCTCTCCTCCTCCTTCTTCTGCCGTAGCGCCTCCGTCTCCTTTCGCAGCGCCTCGAGATTCCACGCGCCCGGATCCTGCTCCTCATCGTCCTCGTCATCGCTCGCCTGCCAATCGCCCCGCTCGAAGAGCATGCGGCCGGTCGCGTCCTTCATCTTCTTCGCCTCCTCGACGGCCGCCTTCTTGTCCAGCCGGTCTTTCTTCCACTTCGCGAACGACTCAGGGGTCACCGGCGTCAGCGTGCCAGTGAGCTTGTGTCGTTCGGATTCTAGGAAGTCTTCGAGCGTGAGCGTGGCGAGGGGTGATTTATCCATCAAGGCTTTCTCTGCCAGCCGCTGTTCGCGGGTTTTGAGGACGAATCTGCAAGGGGTTGTCAGCGGCCATTTCGAGAGGGGAACCCATCAACTTACCCAGGTGGCAAACTGTGTCTGTACATGCACTTGTCCCCGCCGTTCGGGCACACCCAGAACCAGCCGTACTTCTGGTTCTCGACGGCCTCGATGAAGTGCTTACACACTTTGTCTGTTGTCGTCTGAGGATTGCCATGCTTCGATGAGATGACGCTCCGTAGCTTCGCCTCATCCCAATTTGTCATGTCATCCTTTTTCGTCTCCTCTTCTGCTTCCTCCTCCTCCCGTGTGGTATAGAGTGACCGCTTCTCCGTCTTCCGCTCGATAGCAAGGTCGTGCGAGAATTTGCATCGCTTCCCTATGCCGTTGTCAGTGATTTTCCTCCTCATGTGCAAGTGCTGGCCACATACCCTTCTCGCACACTCCCTTCTTGTGGAACTGGCACAAGACGGTTTTCGGGTCCACTCCAAACGGAACCTTCTGCGTCTGCACCGGCTTGAACAGTTCAGCGGCTTCCTTGCGCGCTTTCTCGGCGGCGAGCTTATCCTTCTCACGTTGTGCTTTCTCGGCCTCTTTTCGTTTCTGGTCCGGGGTCTTCGCACTAGATGATTGGGATTGGATTTGCTTGATGGCTTTCTGGGCGGCACCACCCTTTTTCTATTGGAGGCAATGTCCGGTCAGGATTGTCGCATGCAGAGACGTGGTGGGCGCGGCCTGAAGTGGCAATAAGGCCACGAAATGGGGGATGGGGGAGGGGCTTATCGACGCACATTTTTCATGCCAAAGGTCTGCCCACTGTATTAGCTCATGATCTTCTCTGAAAGTCTCAACTTTTGGCCGTACCTTGTCCACCGTGACCCTCTCGGACTTGGGCTTCAGATTCTGGTTCTTTGGAGGCATCTTGGCGGAACGGAGGGAGGATATGGGTTGTAGAAACGGATATAAAGTAGAGGATGCTAAATTGCAAGCAGATCTAGTGCGTATTCGCACTTGGAAGATGACCGATGAATTGGTATCAAAGGTTGAAAGTCGTCATTGGGGAGTAAACCGAATAATACCTGCAGCGGACTTGCGAATACATGTAGTGGGGTTTGAGTTTGGTGGGAGGTGGAGCCGTGGAGGTGAATAGGGATTAGTCAGCCAGATATCGTACATCACCACTTGACCACTATTTCCCATTCACGCCTTTCTCCCAATCACTGCATCTAATATCGATATCCTTATAGGACAATGAAGGTTCGCTCTACATTTTGGAGAGAATTGTAGTCATTAACTCGGGATCAAATCTTGATTGAGATGCGTTTTCTACATTCTTATCTCTCGATAGCCTTTCCCTTGGTAGGTCGTGTCCAGAGGTCCGGAGTCAAAGTCGATTCAGGCTTCTGTAGTGTTACCATAGTATTATCTCAATTCATTTTAGGTTTTTGCACCTGATATAGGGCCTTTCACTTATTCTTAAGAGTCGTCCATTCTATCTAAACTCCCGAGTTTGCGCAACGTCCGGTAGCGGCTGGATGGAGTTCGTTTTTCACTCTTGCGGTGGCGAATATGCTGATCAAGATATTTTCTATATTATACGCGAATCTGAGTCTTGTTATTCATCCGTTTGCGACTTTACTCAATCCACTTCGTTCTCAATGCAGCTGCCCGACCTGTCGCTGTTGTACCTAAATGGAGCCTTGAGCGAACCCGGACATCATCACGCATTTATGGTAATGACAGTTTGAATCTCGCGGCGCAATCTGATCATAATATATCTCAATAATGATATGACATGGATAGGGCATTATAGTGATAAAGCCAAATTACGAGATGAACGTGATGCACCTGGCGGGGTTGGAGGTGAGGTTCCCCAGAGTGCTAATATATCAGAGACATGCCACCAGGACGCCAGGATGCCCAGTAGCATTTTAGCATTTTAGCATTATTGAAATTGGATTTTGAGTTGAAGTCATCATCTGTTTCCCTAAGTGCTTTCAAGATGCGAGCCGTGGCCTCAGCCTTACTCAAGTTTGCTGCCTCGAGCATCCTTTTCTCTCACCTCTCCCTCGCAGGCCCGACCGACCCCGCGTACTGCGCCAAATGCGAAGAAAGCGCCCCGGGATTCGCGTCGCTCAACGGCGGCACCACCGGTGGCAAGGGCGGGCCCATCGTGACCGTGACGACACACGCTGACCTCAAGGCCTACGCCGGGCTGGACGGACCGTACGTGATCCGCGTGGACCGGACGCTGGTGTCCGAACCGTTTGGGTATGAGATCCCCATCAAGAGCCATAAGACCATCATCGGCGTGGGACGGGCGGGAAAGATTACCGGCGGGGGTTTGACTGTGAAGAATGAGAGGAACATTATCATTCGGAATCTGGAGATTTCGGGGACGTACAATCCGGCGGACTACGATGGGAAGCAGAACGAGTCAGTGTTTCTGGGACGTTAGGGATAGATCAGCGTGGCCTAACCTGGGCATAGCTTCGATGGCGTCCAGGTCGACGGCGGGACGAATATTTGGATCGACCATTGCAAAGTCAGTCCGTTGACCTAGCATCGTGATCGTTACTCATCCGCGCAGTTCACCCAAATGTGGGACGGCCTCCTCGATCTCCGCAAGGACACCAACTACGTGACCGTCTCCTTCACCCAGTTCTCCGAGCACAACAAAGCCTTCGGGATCGGCTGGACCGACAACGTCCTCTCGAAAATGACCGTACGTGATCCTTTCCTCCCCTCCGCTACCAAAAATGAATAAAACCCCGACTGACCATCGCACAACAGATCCACGACAACTTCTTCCACAGCACCAACCAGCGCAACCCCAGTGCCGATAACCTCCAGCACTGCCATATGTACAATAACTACTTCCGCAACCTGACCGCCTACGGCACCTACGCCCGCGGCGCCACCCAGCTCCTCGTTGAGGCCTCGTACTACGAGGACGTGAACGATCCGCTCCATGCGGACGCGACCGCGGCCATCCGGAGTAATCAGGTGCGGTTCAAGGATTGTCGCGGAAAGCGGGAGGTGAGCGCGCGGCCGGAGAAGGTGTTTAAGGCGAGTGATTTTTATAGTTATCAGTTAAAAAACCCGGATGATCTGCCGAGGACGGTGCCGGGTGCGGTGGGGCCGAGTCCGGAGATCGGAATATGGACGAGTGGGTGGAGAGATAGGTAGATATTGGTCATCTATGGGATAAGTCTAGTGCGGCGCTCTGTGCATCGACTCCATCGCCTCCGGGAACCTCTCGACGTGCACGTGAAGAACATAGGCGAAAAGCATCGTGTATTGAATACTGGTATTTTGGTTTTCGCTACTCGCTATCGGTCATACCACGCAAGAAACATCAAAGTGAATTGCAACATTAGTAGTTTCGAACCCTTGACCATCTTCTCATACACATCGTTGTCTGAGCATAGTTCCAATCACACCCATCCACCGATGGCATCAATGATGAGTAATTCCGGTATGAAGGTCAATTACTCCTCCGGCTCAAGGGGGGCCTCCTCATCATACTCCTCCTCGCCCTCGCTGATGCTGGCCTCCTGGTATTGCTGGTATTCGGAAACCAGGTCGTTCATGTTGGACTCAGCCTCGGTGAATTCCATCTCGTCCATGCCCTCACCAGTGTACCAATGCAAGAAAGCCTTGCGACGGAACATAGCGCTGAACTGATCGCCGACACGCTTGAAGAGTTCCTGGATGGAGGTGGAGTTACCAACAAAGGTGGACGACATCTTGAGGCCACGCGGCGGGATGGAGCAGAGCGCGGTCTGGACGTTGTTCGGGATCCACTCGACGAAGTAGGAGGAGTTCCGGATCTGGACGTTGCGCATCTGGTCCTCGACCTCCTTCATGGAGACCTTACCACGGAAGATGGCAGAGCAGGTGAGGTAGCGGCCGTTGCGGAAGTCCGAAGCAGCCATCATGTTCTTGGGGTCGAACATCTGCTGGGTGAGCTCCGGGACGGTCACGGCACGGAAGGAGTGCGAGCCACGGCTGGTGAGAGGAGCGAAGCCAACCATGAAGAAATGGAGACGAGGGAAGGGAACCATGTTCACAGCGAGCTTTCGGAGATCGGAGTTCAACTGGCCGGGGAATCGAAGGCAGGTGGTGACACCGGACATGACGGCGGAAACGAGATGGTTCAGATCGCCGTAAGAGGGGTTGTTCAGCTTGAGAGTCCTCATGCAGATATCGTACAGAGCCTGGCACCATATTAGCAAGATTCCCGAACCCGAAGCTCATATGACTAACCTCGTTGTCAATGCAGAAGGTCTCATCGGAGTTCTCCACCAACTGGTGAACGGAAAGGGTAGCGTTGTAAGGCTCAACGACGGTATCGGAGACCTTGGGAGACGGCATGACGGAGAAAGTAGCCATCATGCGATCCGGGAACTCCTCACGGATCTTGGAGATCAACAAGGTCCCCATACCGGCACCGGTACCACCACCAAGGGAGTGGGTGATCTGGAAGCCCTGAAGGCAGTCGCAGCCCTCGGCCTCACGACGCACAACATCGAGGACCTGATCGACAAGCTCGGCACCCTCGGTGTAATGACCCTTGGCCCAATTGTTGCCGGCTCCGGACTGGCCAAAGACGAAGTTATCGGGACGGAAGAGGTGGCCGAACGGTCCAGCGCGGACGGCGTCCATGGTACCGGGCTCGAGATCGACGAGGACGGCACGAGGGACGTACTTGTTGCCGGAAGCCTGGCGACGGGCAGTTAGTTCGAATTCAACTGTCGGATCGAGATCAACCTACCTCATTGAAGTACACATTCATGCGCTCCAACTGGAGATCCGAGGTGCCATTGAAGCTGCAGGCTGATTAGGTCGAGAAAGAAACTTGCATCCAGCTCAAATTGGCACTTACACGCCCGAGCCGTCAAGGCCATGCTCGCCGGAGATGTTTTGCCTTCAAAAACAAACAGTATCAGCATCGTTGGTCGCTAGCGAGGGTTTGTGTACATATTGGGACCCACCAGAAGGCAGCACCGATTTGGTTACCCTACAGCTGTTAGCATGAGAACCCACGCGAGCGCGATGAAACTTACACATTGGCCGGTTTGGAGATGAACCTATTGCGAGGCAAGAGCTTGTATCAGTAAAGGATCTCGATTATAGTTGCGAAGGGGTCGTTGTGTGGCTCCAGGGCCGGTTAAGGAGACCATGGAACGCGTGACAACAAGGATCCAGGGGAGAGGGACAACTTACGATTTCGCGCATTTTGAGGGATGGACGGACGATGAACGATGGGACAAGAGACAGCGATGGTCAAAAGAAGCAGCTGGAGTATCGAGGTACCGGATCGGATGGTATGGAGAGAGAGTAGTGGAAGGATAAAGATTGGGGAGAGGTGAGGTGTGAGAGACGGAGAGAGTGTTGGTGGGAAGAAAGATTGGAAGGAAGGGTCGTGGTTGGCCCTTTCCCGGTTTGGTGGGCGGTGGGTTGTGATGTCCCTGAGCCTGAGGCCTGAACTCTGAAGCGGTGTGCGACTGCCGCTTGATTCACCACCAGTTGTGCTGTTGTTTATCATCTGTGCACACTGCACCACTCACTGCTGACTGCAAGCTGTTGCCCCTCTTCTAACTCCTTGTAGCGTCGAGCTAATCCCGCTTCGGCTGTGGGAGTTGAGGGGCCTCAAGTCACGAGACCATTAATCAGTGTTTACTTGTACAAAATCACATTATTTAACGTGTAACACACTCAAACCCTGCTTGATACCAGGACGCAATGCTAAGGAAGGTATGGTAGTCTATTCGGCGGATATTAAGATAAGTAAGATAGGTATCGTATGCGAAGAAATGAGGAAAACGCCAGGCACACCGGACATGCCGATCGCGATGTAGGAGGCCAAGCCATCAAGCATGAGAACCTCCAACCCCGTCTATTGAGACTTTTTGCAATATCCATTCGCGAACCCATTCTCTTTCCCAGCCGGCCGTTTCAGAACACAAGTAGGGATCGACGTGAAGAGGCTTGGCCACACCAAATCGTACTCGTCCTGCCTCCCGCTCAAGCAATGTCGCAGCCAGGTGCACCAGACAATGTAGAAGTACGCTCCCGTTCCCGTCATGAGATGCCTGTGGTATGGTGAGTCCGCATCCACATGCCAGGTTCGGTCCTAGTACTTACCACCATCCGTGTCCCTCCAAGACGATCCCCCACGGCAACCCGATCTCCCGTCTCCACGAGCGCAGGCTGGGGCAATACCAGTTGTCCAAGTTCCAAATGAGAAACCCTCCCAGGAACACGCTCAGCCCAACCGCGACGATGCTCCACATCGTGTTCAAGATCTCTAAATCCCGCTTGTCGATCCGCGCGTGCTCCGCGGCGTCCATTTTGGTGCGCTCGCCGTTCGGCTTTCCGCCCACCTCGGGCTTCCCTAGCAATTTGTTCCGGTTCCTGCGTGTGGGGCGAAGCTCATGTTCCATCACGTACATGCTCCGAAAGACGACGACGGCTGTGAGGAATGCATAGGCGTTCTGGTGGAAGGTCGGGTCTTGCAGGTAATGGTAGTATCCCGTGATAAAGAGCGCGAGGCCAAGGAGGAAGGTCCCCAAGAGAATCGAATTCCGCGTGGACCTGCCAAAAGCGAAGGTTGCGAAGCACACGATGCAGGTGGTGTAGATCATGGAAAGCTCGTCGACGAGCTGCATTGGATCTAGAACATATGCGCATCAGTCGCCGAACTTGACAGGAACAATGCGAGCGATATACGTACATGTGAGGGTCGAGTGGAAGAAGAAACTTCCGATTCCTACGACGAGATAGCCGCCAAAGGTAACGAGGAATACCTTGTCATGCTTGTTCTGGAGGCAGTTGACAACGCCATGGATACCCAAGACTATGAACAGGAAGTTCGTGAATGTATTGACGATCTCGGCCGCGTATATGGTCGCATAATAATCCTACGTCTGTCAATGTCTGGCCTTCTATACAAATATGTCTAGGAGATGTTGGGTATCCCACCTCCTCACACCAATTCAAGGTCGACGTCACTGGCGACCAAAAGCCATCCCGGGCTGGAGGGTACGGTACGGACGGGAGCCAGGACACCATCTCAGATGGTTTGGCTTTGGTCCTTGGAAGAGATACTGTCGCCAGACCGATCGCAGCAGGCGAGGCGGTTGTAAATAAACAAAAAGCTCAGCAACCCTCCGGATGGCGGCGGGAGGAGGATTAGACTAGAGCGCGACAGCGGGGACCGGCGGTTTAAATGCGCATGAAATAGTATTGGATTTCTAATGACTATGGAGGGATAAGCAATGACAGATGGAGATGCAGACAGTTGACCAAGTTACGAAACATCTTGAAGCTGAGAGAAGAGCAATGGGCTGAAGGAGAGAACATGCTGGCCAGAATTCGGTAGTTGCATTTCAGGTTGAATCAGGCTTCGTGACGAACCGTGGGAGTAGCAACCCAGATGGAGGGTGGTGGTGGTTAATCGTCATACCAGCCCAGGAAGATCGGTGGAAGATCGGACAACCCACCCCCGTGAGTAAGCCGTGACACGGTGACAGGCACCTGCTGGCAGCTCCTGGAGAAGCTCCATGGGCCGAAAATAAAGCCCCAATCCCTGTGTTCGGCGAATCTGAGCCCAGCAATTTGTTCCCTACCTTCCTCCATTGCACAAGCCCATCCAGTAGTACGGACGCATGCACCAGAAGTACGGGCTCTGAAACAAATTTCATACGGTTCTTCGCCGCTTTTGCATGTGAACGAGGCACAGGGACAGAGAATCATCCCAGGACCGCGTCATCTTGCTGTGAGGATATTGAGAATATCGAGACCTGAACTGGGGTCATATCAACCACCATGTCGATTCCCAATGAGGCACTGCAAAAGGTGAGTTCCTCCATCGACTGCCGACACTACGGGAATATAGAAGACTAACACGACCTTACAGATCTTGATTGAGATCGAGCAGAAGGCCTCGTTCTCGCAGCAGCAGATTTCCATCGTGAAGTCGCAGATGGCGGCGAAGTCACGCGAGAGTCGGATGCTCCAACTCACTGCCAAAGAGGTGGAATCACTGCCAGTCGAGACGAAAGTCTATGAGGGGGTGGGAAAGATGTAGGTGCTTTTTTGATTTCGATCATATGGAGCGCCTCGTCAATCCGATCATGTGTCAAGCGTCGCCGCTTGCGTAATGACTTCAGCGACGACCTCAATTTCCCTCAGCCGCGTGTTCTCTTGTCTCCAAGTCTCCATCCTGACCGCCCCAACAGGTTCATCGAGACCCCCGCACCCGCGGTCAAGAAGCGTCTCCAATCCGAAACCGAAGGGCTCAAGTCCGACATGACGAACCTGGAAAAGAAGCTGCACTACCTCGAAACGACGTACAAGAACAGCATCGACAACTTGGAGCAGCTGCTCGGTCGGTCCAGAGGATGATGAGCGTCCGCCTCGTCGGACCTTCAGGACGTCGGAAATCTGCAGCGCGTGTGGGGGGAGGGGGTGAGGGTCGCGCCTGGGGCCTCGTGCCTCTCTAGGTGCGGTCAGTGTGGCGATCGGGAGTATGAGATGGCGTTGGGCAGAAGTACTGCGATCACTGGCGGCCGCTCGTCCTCGAGATATAGGTACCGCACGATGCGATCGCCAGCCGTTGTGTATCCTATGGACCGAATGTGGACAGATATCAGACGGGCTAAGCCATTAAAAATGTGCACATTCTGCACCGCGCCTCGATGTCTTGCAATATTCGCAAGGAAGAACAAGGATTTTACCCATTCATATCAACATTGTATTTCTAAGAATGATATGTACCTATCCAACCCATGCGTCGTGCAGTCAATCCCCTAAACACCTGCTACATTGATTACTTAATACAAAAGGGAAACGAGTCCAGTTGTCCGGATTTAAGAGACTCGGAGAGGTGGATCAGGGTTGATGACCCGATATTCTTGGTTTCCTTTCTCCAATATCATGTACCCAGTACCCACAGCACAGTGCCCCCGAACGAGCGTTTCCCACCCTAACATTCGGTTTATGTCAGATTGGGTTTGATTAGAAGCACACTGTCGCAAGTAACAGATAGCCCGATATGCTGCTGAAGTAACTACAGTTTCAAGATGTCGTCCATCGACCTTGCTTATGGAAATCAGGTGGTTTCTTCCCTCTTTAGCTGCCCAAAAATGGTTTCTGGACTTGGGCGGCGCAAGCAGAGTGTGCATGGAGGGAAGCGGGTTTAGAAAAAAGCGGGATGGCGGGGGGACACACCGGACACCAATTCTGTCTAGCCTGATGCGTAGAACCAAAGGTTTTCAACCAGCCTGATTTGCTTAGATAGTTACGAATTACGGTACAGTCCAGTCTGTCAACCATATTCAGAGAGAGGGGAAGACGGGAAGTCGGAACGTCCCGCTCAGATCTGGCCGCAGCTGTCAACGTCGGAGAGAGTTACGCAGGAGAGTCTATCAAGCACTCAAACCCTCCAGCTGTGTGTGCGAGGCACTCGCTAACGCTAGGAAGGCTGGAACACCCTCGGAGTGAGGGGCAAGGGCCTCATAAGATCCAACAGAACTGGGGATGGATGGTGCAGTGACGGGGAAAGGTGAGTTTTGGCCCCCATGCCACCAACAATGCTTAGGGATAGCGTCCTCCAGCCGCCTGAATTCGTCAACATCTTGAATATTCCTCGAGGCTCTACAGGGCTTAGTGATTAATAGGATTCGTTGGCGGCAACCCCGAGTACCCATGCCACGAGGCTGGGACTTGGATGGGTCGCTGGATCTGTTTTTTGATTTAGTCCAGCCCTGGGTGACGAACCCGACTGGAAATATTCACGATCCGTACCCCGTACAAGTGCAACGGCGGACAGGCGTGTCCCTTGTTAATCGCAAAGCGAGGTACATATCGGCAGCACACTTGGTGAAGCTAAATCTGCACCTCTTTTCGCCGTTTCGCACACATCTGCCCCCCATTCAAGCAATCTACTGACCCTGACCGACCGTCAGAGCTTCATCGTCTTCTGCTTTATAAGGCTGATCTCCCATCCCTACCTGACCTTACCTTACCTTACAGTCTGTTCGCTGCTTCGCTGTACCAGTACTGTTCATTTTTGGTTTGGGAGTCCCTCCGTTGCAGATCACAGCCCTATCTTCCCTTGTCAGCCGATAACTAAGTCACCCCGCTCTATCGTGATCACGCCCCAACGCTCCGCTAATCGGACTGACTGATCTGTGGCGACTGGTCTCCTTGCAGTTTGCACGTTTCCATTGCACGAACACCGCCATCCGCCTCAGCTGCACCACTGCCCTTTGTCACCTTGAAAGCCTGGAATTCGTCCACAAGACTGGTGTCCCCACTGGTCCAGAATTTTCCGTCTCCAACCCCTCCTCGTCGTCTTTGTGCGCCCCGATCCTCTAGGGTCATCCTCTGCAACTCAGCTGGAATCGTCTTCATCCGTTCCCGGGGTTTTCGGTCACCAGACCGCGATACTACGTTGTTGGCTTATTATCCTCTTCTCTTGTGAATCTTCATTTTTGGATCAACCGCTTCACATCCTAGGCTACGCACAACATTCTCGGATCTGCCGCCCTTCACCCATACGCAAGAGCATAGTGATACCCGACATCTTCGTCTAACTTCGGCGGACTAACGGCTCTATCCGCCACGATGTCATACGAAGAGGACGAATACTGGCGCTATACCACCGCCGGCCGCGGCTACGGCCACGTTCCTCCCCGGCCTACCTATAACTATCTCAACCCCGCTGCCCACCATGGCATGGCGTCGCACCACCGATCCCGCTCACAGGGCGCGCCTCCCGCCCCAAACATTCAAATTCACAACATCACGGCCCAAGAAGACTATCACCACGAGCGGGCGCCCTCCCCGAATTACGGATACCGTGGCCGCATACCGGTCCGTGACGATGCCGTCGCCGACGAGCTGGCCGACATTCGCCGCGAGTTGCGCGGTCGAAGCCGCGGGAGAGAATCGGACACGGTGAACGTGGTCAACCAGGCCAGCTCAGCACAGGCTGCCAACGCAAACGCATGGAGGGAATGGGAGTATCGTCGGTCAGAGGCCCGAGCGCAGATGGATCGAGAGCTAGAGCTAGCCAAGAAGACCAAAGACCTCGAGGCGGTAGAAAAGGCGAACCGGCGGAAGCAGATTCTACTAGAATCCCAGGCGAAAGACTTGGAGGAGGAAGAGGAGAGGAAGGCGGCGATCGCCAAGTACAAGGCCCAAGAAGCTCAAGAGGAGGAGGACCGGAAAGCGGCGGTCGCGAGGTACAAGGCAAAAGAAGCTCAGGAGAAAGAAGACCGCAAAGCGGCGATGGCCAAATTCCGACAGCAAGAGGCGGACGAGAAACGCGAGCGGGAAGAGGGGGCAACGCGAGCGGTTCGAGAGTACGAGGAGGAGCAGCGCCGTCGACAAAAAGAAAAGGACGAATGGCGGCTGAAGCTGAAGCTTGAGGAGGAAGAGGCCAAACGGAAGGAAAAGGAAGAAGAGGAGCGGCTGCTGGCGAAGCTCAAGGCAAAAGAGGAGGAGAAGAAGCGCGAGGAAAAGGAGGCCGAAGCGAAGCTCACTGAGGAGATGCATAAACGGCTGGCAAAATTCGGCTTCCAGGAGAACCAGATCGAGGCCATGGTGGATCCGTCGAAGGCCGAGAAACTCCAGCTCGGGCAGGGGCCGAAGGCGCCCAGGTATGGCCTACACAACCACGCCCACAACCATAACCACACGACGACGATCACCTCCTCGACCGCGCTGATCACGAAGGAGAAGCCGACGTTCATCAAAGTGAAAAGAAAGGATCTGAGCATCGACACCTTGAAGTACTATCAGATCCCGTGGGAATACGACGTACGTCATCCCCCCCCATCCGTTGCCTCTGCACTGGTTTGCTGACATCACCGACCACAGACCGACTCCGACTTCATCATTCTGAAGCAGGAGCTCGATAGCGAAGAGACCGACATCCTTTTCGAGCATACTCGTCGCCTCCGCGGTGGCAATACCAAGCTCCTCATCGAGACGTCCGATCGCAGTAAGAAGCCTGAGTATGCGTTTGTGAGGCGTCGGGGCACCTCTCGCTCTCGCTCTCGCAGCCGGGTACGTGAATCCAGCCCCAAACGGGTCCACGTCCTCGGAGGGATGTGGTAAACGAGGTAAAATGATATATGGAATGATAGCTACGGCCGCATCTGGCAAAGGGGCGATAACGGCGATATGAGTTATAATGCCAGTCATACAGCGTGGCGGGTCGATCGGTCGACCCAACTCCCTGCTATTTGGATGCTTTGGGTTCATCGCCTTCCGCAGTCGTTTTTGGGTCTCTCTTCCTTCGCATTGGGATTCCTTGTCTTCGATTCTCCACTCTCGTTTAACACTTTATGATTCGTGTGTTGAGTCTAATCTGTATGTATTAATCTACAAGTATCATACAGGTCAACTCAAATTGTTGCCTCATGTTGAGGAAAGTAGTGTTTCCCCACCATTCATCCGTCTTCCCAAGATTTCGTCCCCCAGATAGTCGAGATTAAACAGGAACGCCACGTCTTGAGTTTCGACCTCTACCGGAACGCCGTGTAGATGTCATGCCAAGTAGGAGATTTCCAACCATCGTCTACTACGCCAACCCGTCTTCCAAATGTAATTCCGCCCTCCTAACCAACTCCTCATACAACGTCCACGCCAACGCACTACTCAACGCCTTCCTCGCCATCCGCAACCCCAGCCCATCAAAAAAGCTTCTCCACCCTTCCTCCCGCAACAATATCCCCGTGCACCGCACCATATTCTGATACCGCGCCGGATCCACCTGCACCCGCGTCTTCAGCACATCTACCGGATTCGTCAGCCCCGTCGCTGCCACCGCCGCCAGCAGCCCGCTCCCGAAGTTCACCCCCGCCGCCACCCCTCCCGACACCTTCGCGTCCCCCGTCTCCGGTCTCACCGCAATGGATGGCCTCACGAGGACCCGCGACATCGACGCCTTCGACGCCTCGTAGAACGCAACATATAATCCCGCATACGGGGCATCCCGCAACGCCGTGGCCCCCGCGCCCGCAAAGAACCCTCTCACCCCATCCCTCCCCAAGATCTCCTTCACCCCACCCGCCAGCGACGTATACCCATACAGCGACGACTCAAAGCGCACCTTCAGGATGGTCAAGGGGGAGAGCACGAAGCCGGCGCCGGCGCGGGCGATCGCGCCGGTGAGGAGGTTCGTGGACGGGGTGAGCTTCGGGAGGGCGGAGGAGGAGGAGGGGGCGGCGACTGTGCCGATGTTGCGGTGGGCGCATTCGCGGCGGAGGAGGTTTAGAGAGCCGAAGTAGAGGGCGCTTCCGACGCCAGTGCGGAGGACGGAAGGGGCGGTGCCGCGCCAGAGTTGGCGGAGGGGGGAGGGGTGGGGGTGGGTGGCGGACGGCGGCGGGGTGAAGATGGAGGTGAGGAGAGTGCGGAGGGAATGGTGGGCGTGGGAGGATTGTTGGAGGCGGGTTTTGAGGAGGTCGAAGGGTTGGAGGAGGACGGCGCTGGAGACGCCTGAGACGGCGCCGGCGGTGAAATGGAATGCTGCTGTGGATGTAGTTAGCATCGGATATCTCAGGGTCTATGTCTAGAGGATGGGTAGGTGAGTCGTACATTTGGACTGGCGGGGGGTCGTCCTAGGGACCGTCGCCTGGGGTGCATTGGACACCATGGAATTTACAGGCATAACATCGGCTGGAAACTCATGGTGAAGCAATATCTAACCCAGCTCCGCCTGGTATACGTCTGTTGAGGAAGTTGGATGCTTAGGAATTCCTGGCGTCATCATGGACTTCACAGAATCATGACTAAATTCGACTTTACTAATTCTAGAGACAGCTCCGGCTGGACCCCAGCTTGGACAATTCGGTCTAACTCCGGTGGAAATGGGCCAATCACAGGCTGGATTTCCGATCTCCATTGAAGGTGTTCAGGTTGATACTTATCGTGAGTTGGTGATAGAGCCGAAGTGTTCACGTACTAGGAATTCAACTTCCATGCATTAGTTAGTAATATGATCATGACGAATATTGGTGGCTCTGCTATGAGCTCAAGAAAGACCGTCTGAGGAGCCTAAAGGACCCTGAGTGAAAAGCCTGGCTCTGCGGACCTTGAGGGTACAGTGCTTTAAGGAACTTGCGGAATAATACTGGTAATTATTTGTGGTGTACATCCATAGACAATCTGACTTAAAGATGCAAATTAAATTCCAGCGTCTCATCTCATCTCAATGCGAAATGGCGGGTCCCGCCTTCATTACCATTACCTACCGCAGACCTTATCCCTTCCAGCCTGGCCTAATGACAGGAGGATCTACCCGTACATGATCCATCTCGATGCCATCCATAGAAACTTGAAGGCTGAAGACACACCCAGATGGCCCGATCTTCATAACATCCAGGGAGGATGTGTGGGGATGACCAAGTGATGAGGAACACTGCTTCAGACTTCAGAGTGCAGACACGATGATTTGCGCAGGGAATCGAAGAGAGCGACATCCTCCACATAACCGTTCGCGCACCGAGTTCTCCAAGTATGTCCGGTATATGTCCGACAATCCCGATCATGGCGACTAGAGAGTTTCCAACTTCGGTCCGGGTTGTTGCTGGCTTACTGCGACGTGTGAACATGGAGAATTCGAGATGGACTCGTGGTTGCCCCACGGGGTAGTGGATCATGGAGGCGAACGGTGGATGGACGGCGGTCTGCGTGCGAACTTATGAACTACGAACCGTGAACGAAGGAGTATTCCACCAACTTGTGGAAACTAGATGATGGATGAATTGATGATGACCCCGTAGACCCGGTGGTCTCGCTCGAAACTCGGGATCTGACTCCTTGTGGCTGCCTGAATGCCTGGATGCCTTCCTTCCAGACTCGGGCAGAGGATTCGGCATCGATATGCGACACGTTCAGATACCGATGTCATCATCCGGTTTACAACATCCATCTTTCGGTGCGCGGTTACGAGCTAACCCCCCGCCCTGCGCATGCGGGATCCGGCCATTTAGCTTCGAGTTAATTACATTGGCAAATGTTACGGCACTCGACCTCAACATACGCCGTATGGCGATCGGCGCTTTATATTGATCGTTCGCGCCGCCAGGTGAGCCCATGAAGAGTTAAGAGCTTCACTGGGACTTTCATATGGTCTCCAAGTTTCTTTCTAGCGGCTATTCATCTTATATATTTGTCATTTCTCTTCGCTGTACATTTTTTCGGAGATTGTCGACTTTCTCTTTATTTAACACCTAAGATTTTGGGTATCCAGAGCATAGAAGTGCGCCTTGAGGCTCTCGTTCTGCTATGGCTTCCGCGGATAAATATGACATTGTCATCGTTGGCGCAGGTCCGGTTGGCCTGATGCTAAGTACATGCCTTGCGAGGTGGGGTTACAAGATCAAGCATATCGACAACAGGCCGGAACCAACAGCCACCGGACGTGCCGATGGCATTCAACCGCGATCCCTTGACCTTTTACGGAATATGGGCTTAAAACGAGCCATAATGGCCCATCATCCGGCGAAGGTGTACGAGGTTGCGTTTTGGGACCCGGCCGCAGGCAACCAGGGGATCCATCGAACAGGGACTTGGGCAAGTTGCCCGAAGTTCATTGACGCGAGATACCCGTTCACAACGCTGTTGCATCAAGGACACATCGAGCAAGCGTTCATCGGGGACATGGAAACGAATGGAACATCGGTCCAGAGACCGTGGACAATCACCGATTTCGAGAACGATGGGCACGACCCGACTTATCCGGTGTCCGTAACAATCCAGCATGTCGATGGAGAGCAGAAGGGCAAGGAGACGGTTCGTGCGAAGTATCTTTTCAGCGGAGAAGGGGCTCGGAGCTTCATTCGAGAGCGGCTTGGCGTGAAGATGGACTTTGGGGACCCCATCTCCAATGTATGGGGCGTCATGGATGGTGTGGTGCGGACTAACTTCCCCGACATCAAGGTATGCTAGCGGTTCTAGTTGCGTTTCCAGAATTCTGACATCGAAAACAGATGAAATGTACGATCCACTCAGATGCCGGTTCGATCATGGTCATTCCAAGGGAGGACAACATGGTCCGGCTGTACATTCAGATTGCCTCCTCAACAGATCCGGACTTCAACCCTCGGAAAACGGCGACGGAGAAAGAGGTGCAAGAAAAAGCGAAACAGATCTTGAAACCCTACTACCTCGAGTGGGATAGCGTCGAGTGGTACTCGGTGTACCCTATTGGACAAGGCATCGCATCAAAGTATACACTTGACGAACGTGTCTTCCTCGGTGGTGACTGCTGCCACACGCATAGCGTAAGTTTTCCAATCGGTGGTCATATAAGCAGCTCCTAACACCCTCTAGCCAAAAGCCGGTCAAGGGATGAACACCGCATTTCTGGACGCGGCGAACCTCGCCTGGAAGATCCACCACGTCGAATCCGACTTCTCCCCCCGGTCCATCCTTTCCACCTACGAGCCCGAAAGGAAATCCGTAGCGCAGAACCTGCTTTCATTCGATGCCAAATACGCCAAGCTATTCTCAACACGACCTCCCACCGCGGGCGAAATCGGCTCGGCCCACCAGGCCAGCGAGCTGGAGGAGAACGACTTCGTCAAGACATTCAAAGCCGGCTGCGAGTTTACTAGCGGATACGGTGTTGCGTATGGCTCCAATGTCTTCAACTGGTGTCCGAGCCACTCAGCCAAATCCCACCTTTTCCTCCGCCACCCTGAGGCGACCACCCTGCGAACTGGCCGCATTCTGATCCCATCGACAGTGACTCGCGTGGCCGATGCCAACGAGGTGCACCTCGAGCAGGAGATCCCGCTCAACGGGTCGTACCGGATCTATATCTTCGGCGGCAAACCCTACCGCGACTCCAGCAATGCCCCCAGCTCCTCCGTCCGCGCCCTCCAGTCCCTCGCGCAATACCTCGCCCACCCGAAGTCCTTCTACCAGCGCTTCTCCTTCCTGCCTAGCCACCGGGTCTCCCACCACGAACCACACAACGTCCACTCGGCGTTCTTCTCCATCTGCACCATCTTCTCGCTGCCGCGGCCGCGCATCGCCGAGCGCAGGTCGACTCTTCTGGGGGCCGGGAATCTCTTCGCCAGCTACAGGGACCACATCTACGCGGACGATGTCCCCGACATTCGCGTGCCCGAGAGTTTAGCGGACGGCGCAGTGGGTGCGGCGCACGCCAAGATGGGCTTTGGGGATGACGGGGGCGTGGTCGTCGTTCGGCCGGACGGGTACGTGGGCTGTGTGGTGAAGCTTGTGGAAGGGTCGGGGACGGGAGAGGCGCTGGAGGAATATTTCAAAGCCTTCACGACGGACGGGAAAGCGCAGTTGCGACCGAATTTGTAGGATATGATTTGATACATTTAAGCAGCCGGGTACGGGTCAATAAGCCAATATCATTTGCTTTAACTTTTCGCTCCGTTTCGAGGAAGCATTGGTCTGCTAACGGATGCGATCCTCTCAGGCTTGTAGCACATGTAGTTTCCAACGCCGAATCAAGCTTCCGTGACGCCACGCAATGCAATCCAGGTCCCTGTTAGTTCGCGACTAGGAGTACATGCCTAGTTCCCATCGAATATGATCTGTCCTCTTCATCCTCCTCTCTAAAATAACACCACCTATCCCCCTTCCCCTCTTCCGTGGCAAAAGCCTTCTACCCTCAGACGTCGGCCTTCACGCACAGCTAGCGCCTCAACCCCATCGTGATAACCGCGTAATCCAAATCCGCGACCGATTAAATTAGCTCTTAACCTTGCCCGCCGCCTTCACCGGCACCGCGTCGGCCTTCCGCTCTTCGGAGAGGTCATCGGTGTTCTCCGCGTTGATTTCGAGGTAGTGGTAGAGGACGATGAGCAGCACGGAGGCGCCGCCGAGGAACAGCGCCAGGCTGTAGAGCTGCGAGTCGGAGATCATCGTGGGGCGGATGGGAGGATGGGTTGGAGTGGGTTGGTCGCGGTGTTGGATAGATGGAGGATGAGGAGAGCTGCCACAAGGGTTCCGGCGATTGTTGAGCAGGACAGTGGAGAGTAGCGAAAGGGTCGGTGGCCGGTAAGGAGAGATTGGGAGTGATAATGATCGACTCGAACTCAATTTGCGTTGTAGTTTATGGATTGAATAATTATTGCGGCATATGGACGGAATGACAACCTCAAGCTGGCCTTAACTGCACATGAAACTATCAAGATATCGCTCCCCGGAAGGGCAGGGGTCCCTGGACGAGCAGTGTGGCTAGAGTATTTGTACCAGCCACAGTCACATGACATAGCTCACTAGAGTGGGTCCGGGGTTTGAATATCACGTGACCATGGGTTCGATTGGATACAGTCAGGAAACCTCAACCGCAGTCTATCCCTCCTCCCACAGAGAGGCCTGACGGGCGTATGAATATCTCGCTCTCTCTCTCTCTCTCTCTATCCCTCCTCCCCAATATCTGACACTCAATGTCACATTAACCGCTGCCTTTACCAGCACTTACAGCTTGAAGAACCGGTGTGGATCGAATCGTATCCAAACATCACCAAGATGGGTTTTTGGCAGTTTCAACCGGGCAGAAATGACCCCATCGAATGCAGCGGCTCGGCACTCAGCCGTGAAGCAGGTGCTGATCTCCTATCCGCCACAGGAAAGCAGCAATGAGGTAGGTCCGGCGACCGTGGTTGCTATTTCTCAATGTCTGTTCGATATAAACAACGTTCGTACCGTTCTCATCTGCTCTTCTCCATCGAACTTTGCATCACTCGAGTCATCACACGATCTATCATCGTCCACGTAGCTTCCTTCCATTCTATCAAAAACCATCGTTATCTTCAACATCAAGTCGAACTTCCGATCATGCCGCATCAACATTCCCTGACGCGTCGCGCCGTTACAATCATTGCCCTTACGGCGTCGATGCAGCAGACCGGAAACGCAATGCCAACTGCTCCCCAAGGCGTAACCGAACTCAGAGCACCCGACATACCTCCGCCCCCAGGATGCATACCCAACTACCCCGGCACGTTCGGCATGCTCGTGACGGATGTCAATACGGCCGGTCCACGGGGAAGGTTGAAACGAGATGGAGAACTGGTGTCGCAGGTTCGACCGTCTATGATGAAACCGATCTATTTACAGTTCTCCTAACAATCTATTAGATCGACGACGGCCAGCCGCAAACGCCTTCGGGTGGAGGTGGAGCCGTTTCGCAGATACCTGATGGGCAGCCCCAGGCTCCTGGTGGAGGCGTCGTTTCTCAGATTGGCGATGGACAAATCCAGGCTCCGGGTGGAGGAGTCGTCGGCCAGATTCTCGACGGCCAGATCCAAGTTCCAGGTGGAGGGGTCGTCGGCCAGGTTCCCGACGGTCAAATCCAAGCTCCAGGCGGAGGAATCGCTAGTCAGATAGCCGATGGACAAATCCAGGCTCCAGGTGAAAAACTCGTCGGCCAGATTGACGACGGTCAGATCCAAGCTCCAGGTGGAGGACTAGCCGGCCAGATTGGCGACGGCCAAATCCAAGCTCCAGGCGGAGGAATCGCTAGTCAGATAGCCGATGGACAAATCCAGGCTCCAGGTGAAAAACTCGTCGGCCAGATTGACGACGGTCAGATCCAAGCTCCAGGTGGAGGACTAGCCGGCCAGATTGGCGACGGCCAAATCCAAGCCCCAGGTGGAGGAGCAGTCAGTCAGATTGGCGACGGTCAAGTCCAGGCTGCAGGTGGAGGACTAGTCGGTCAGATTGGCGACGGCCAAATCCAAGCTCCTCGTTCTCCGAACCTACTCTCCCGTCGCCAACTGACACCACGGCCTCAATTCCGAGCTGGCGCTTCCGCCGACTCATTGAAAATGACTCTTGAAAATGGGGTTCTGAAAGACGAGTTCGGCCGAACCGGATACATCGCATCCAATTACCAGTTCCAATTCGACGACCCGCCACAGGATGGCTCGATCTTTACAGGGGGTTTCAGCGTCTGCAATGATGGCACCCTGGCTCTAGGTGGTAGCACTGAGTTTTATCGGTGCATCAGTGGGGACTTCTCCAACCTCTACGATCGTTGGTGGGCAGACCAGTGCAGTCCCGTGGCATTCAATATGGTGGAGCTTGTCTAGTGGATGTTGGCCCGACCGCGAAGCAGAAGAGGCAATCCTTGGGATTCGGGGCATGATCGCAAGCTAGGAGCCTCTAGGTAGCTGTGTGCAAGTTTTGTATTATGTGGAGTCACAGTTACGATCGATTTGAGCCTATGTCGGGTTCAACCATGGCTAGCAGCACATGTTCGGTTGTCATTCTTTACGTACAATGCACGGCATCAGTTGTTCCGACGGAATGTCAGTTTCTTGCGCTGTTTGAAGTGAAGTTCACTTATGCAAATCAGCCACCCCGGTTCCCGCAGCATAATTGCGGCAGGGTTCGGTCCGTTCATCCTTGCCCGTGTATCCAATGCGAGGACAAGGAGCGGGGCACGCATGCCCAGGCAATTCTGGTACATGTATATATGTATGTTCCGTGGAAACCTTGATCGGAGCGACCTAGGCATTCTCGTTTTACCAAAGTCTATTAGCCAAAGTCTTTCCATGCTTCAAACCCATGTCTAAATTTCTAGCTGGAAAAACTGCTATCGTTACGGGAGGAGCTGGAGGTTTAGGTCTGGCCATTGTACAAAGGTTCCTTTCCGAGGGTGCCAACGTTGTTGCAACGGACATCGACCCCAAGCGGTTGGAGGAATGCCCAGCTACAGTTCCAGCTGAGCATCGAGAGCGTCTTCTTGCAGTCCAATGTGACAGCACGGATGAGTCAGCCGTGGAGAAGACGATTGAAGAGACCGTGCAGAAGCTTGGGCGGCTCGATATTCTAATCAATTGTGCGGCCATCAACGATCAAATGGCTCCCGTGGGCGACTGTCCGCGGGCTTTGTGGGACCGAAACCTTCTGGTGAACCTTACTGCGCCATTCATCACGTCGCAGCACTCGGTGCGGCAGATGCTGAAGCAAGAGCCGAAAGGGGGTGTGCTGTTGAACATCATCTCATCCGCAGGCGAGTTCGGATATCGTGCTGGTATATACATCCGATGATCTTGCTGAGTCGCACTGCTGACTGGGTTAGGTTGCGCCTACACTGCGTCGAAACACGGGCTGGTGGGTTTGACGAAGAACACGGCAGCTTTCTATGGCCCAGAGGGGATAAGGTGTCTAGCAATCATGCCCGGTCCTATGAAAACGAATATGGGCAGTGATGCGCATGACGTCAGCAAGTATCATCCAGAAGGGTTACGTCTTGCGAGTTCGTCAATGGCAGCTGGCCTCCGATGGAATCCGATTGAAGAGGTCGCAAAGACTGTGGCTCTCTTGTGCACTGATGGCGTAGGGACTATCAACGGCTCTCTCGTCAACTGCGATAACGGTTGGACATGTATATAGATAAGGTACCTGTCTCCTGATAAATAAGACAGATAGGGACAATACGAGAATAAAACATCCATTCATATCTCATGCCTTGCGTGCTGCTGGTGTAGCGTTCACCAGTAATTGCGGCTTATCCCACATAAGATAAGTCTTCTGATCTCCCCAGTTCTCACTCTCGGGACATAACGTGAGGTCGAAGTTCCAGAGCACCTTCGCTAGGATTATCCGTATTTCATGATAAGCCATACTAATGGGCATCAGTCAGCGAGATTCATCTGCCCCGATCTCTGGCTCGGGGCACTTACTTCTTCCCAAGGCAGTTTCTGGGCCCATAAGAGAAAGGTTGGAACGCATGTTTCTTGTCTTCCGAATACTTGTCAGAAAACCATCTTTCAGGGATGAAAGAGTAGGGGTCCCGGAAGTTGTTAGGGTTTCGGTACACTGAAATATGGGTGGCGTAGACATTAGTTCCAGGAGGCACAGTTTTTCCATCGATCGTGACGCCTTCTGGAGGCACAACTCGGGGCAGACCATTGGAAATCGGAGGATACATCCTAAGACCCTCTTCAACGCAACCTTGGAGATACTTCAGCGCCTGTAACCTTTCGATGGTAATGTCATCTTCCGAAGGAAAAGCGCCGCGAATCTCTTCCGTCAACATCTTCAGCTTGTCGGGGTTCTTGAGCAGGTACCAGGTGAGCCCGCTCAAGGCGGTTGCAGTGGTCTCTGTGCCCGCTTTGAGTTGTCAGAAGGCGCTTTCATCAATGGAATGGAAAGAGAGTTACCAATCATAAACAAATTTCCGTGTTCATACATCTCCTGGCGAGTCAGCCCCGACTCCCCGTCTCTCTGGAGAACGAGTCCCCAGATATCCGGCCGAGCATCTTTCTTCTCCAGGCGACGATCCACCCTCGCACGAGAGAACTCGTGGTGCAGTTTCCTTTTCTCGTTCAGTGATGGCGGCAGCAGGCTCATCACCATACCAAATAATGCCTTCTCGATGATGGAATAGTAGCGGATGCTGTGGAGATAGACTCCAAACTTGAAGTTACTAAATACCGCTGCTACCCACGGATGATATCCTTCCATATCAAGCATGTCTAGCGACTCGCCGAAGGTAAGGTCGCCCATAACGTCAAAAGTCGTGTAGTTGTACATCCGGACCATATCGAAGACATGCTTGGAATCCTTCTGCGCCGCGGTATACATGACCTTGACGAGCTTGTCAACGTATGCCAAGAATAATGGTTCTTGCAGCTTTAGGGCTTTGTCGGAGAATGCGTGGGAGAAGACTCGACGGAAACGGCTGTGATCCGCCGCGCCAGCGTTCACGATACTAGGAACCGAGTCCGGAAACTCGTAGAAACGGTCGGGTTTCGTCAATACTGGCTCCCCGGCACGTCGATGGCCATAAATGTCCTTCCATGACTGTGCGCTGGAGTAGCTTAGTTCGTTCGGGGCAACTCGAACGACCTCACCGTATTGAGAGTGCAAATTAGTTATCCATTTTTGCGCTTCGCCGTCAACCATCTTCTCGATGGTCGGGATGAAGCTTGCAGCGCAGAGGCGTGGACCTGGATACCTGCGAAGCGGATGGAAGAAGACATTGTAGATATAGATTGAAAGCTGGTACACGACGGCCTACACCGCCACTTAGCCGGGGACTGCTTGGATAGAGGAAGACTTGGTACTTACACAAATCAACAGAAGCAAGGAAATTGTGAAAATGCGAGAGAAAAGACTCCAAATGAATTGGAAGGCCATCGGAAAGGATACGAAATATCACGATTCGGGTGGCCGAATCAAACTACATCGTATGGACCGCGCTTCCATTTTATACGATTGCAAGCATACATTCCGTCATCAGAGTTACCCGTACTATACCATTCAACCTGTCGTGTGATGAAACATGTATCCCGATCAACCTCTCTTGGGGATTAGTTAATATGTCACCGGGTGGCAGGGCGATTCGTTCCGTGCCATACCGAGCAGCGAGGAAATTGATATCGATCCGGAATCGAATTATGCACGCGAAGCACAAATCCGCGACCATTTCCCTGCAGCGAGGTATTTGGTACCTATTCAAGAGTAAGACGGCTTATTGTATTAGTAACTGGCTCTACTATGGTTACAGGCAAAAGTATTGTTAGCGCGGCGCTAATCAGGGGTGTCTAACCTAAACCGGTTTTGTTCATTCTTCCATTACTAATTAGATATAGATTTCACCATCTATTAGCCTGCTCATTCTCCGGACCTGAATCCTATTGAGACAGTATGGAATTAGATGAAGGACTAGATCCAGGACCACTATGGGGAATTGGGGATGTCTGATTATCTTATGACCAGCTTCGGGGGGGAATTAACGATGCTTGGGAGGCTATACCAGAGGAATTCCTGTACGAGTTGTCGAATCGATGGGCCAGAGATGCCAGGATGTGATAGGCGCAAATGGAGGCTATACACGATAATGAAATCTATATCTAATTTGTAATGAAAAAAGAACAAAAACGGTTTAGGTTGAATACCACTGCTTAGCGCCGCGCTAACAATACTTTTGCCTGTAACCATAGTAAGTATAAAATCTCCTCTCCTTGTCCACATGCCATTAATAACAAACACGTGTAACGTCCAGGTTCCCCTCATTCGAATATGAAACCCTGGTTGCGTACAAGGGGTGGACGGAGAGGAATTTTCCTGCGAGCTGTCAAATGGGTCATTAGATAGACAAGAATAGGTCCTAGTATAGATCATATGGCCGTGTGCATATTCGTTGTGGAACAATTCGATGTTTCGCGAAATTGAACCCGTCTGATTTACTCGGCCGTCGGTCAAGCGGCACCTTTGCTCTTCTCATACTGGCTGAGGACGAAGCAAGCAGCGGCTTCAATGTAGTATCCATCAGCGCTGTATGCAAGATGAGCGTTCTGGCTGCCCTGTGATGGACGGAGGTTCTCCACCGCAGCGCCAGTGCATTGGGGGGCGCGTTCGACAAGATCCCTTCTCTCCGCTCCTAGAGTGCTCCCTCCCAGGCCTCGAAGACCGCCTCCTATTCCGCCTAGGCCACCCGAGAGGCCCGAGAGTCCACCTGATCTCCCGCTGGAACCCCCGAGCCCGCCAAGTCCGCCCAACCCACCGCTAGAGCCCCCAAGTCCACCCAATCCACCCAGCCCTCCGCTGGAACCCCCAAGTCCTCTGAGTCCACCGAGACCTCCACTAGAACCTCCCAGGCCTCCAAATCCACCGCTGGAGCCCCCAAGTCCACTCAGTCCACCAAGGCCTCCACTGGAACCCCCGAGTCCCCCAAGTCCGCCGAGTCCGCCGCTAGATCCTCCCAATCCACCCAGCCCGCCCGACCCACCGCTGGAGCCTCCGAGGCCACCTAGTAGCCCACCAAGACCTCCGCCTCCGGCGCTATCACATACCTAGGATATATCAGTAAACCGCTCGTATATCTAGCAAGGGCACTTACAAAGTCACCACTATGGCAGTATGACATGCACCGACCAGATACCTGCGTTGGGCAAGCCGGAGAACCGAACATTGTCACTGAGATGACACGAGAAAGGATGTTCGCCGGGATTTGAGGAATCACTTGGACAGTGACCATACCTCCTTGGGAGTGTCCTCCCAGGGCGAACTTGGTGTCAGGGCAACGCTGGGCGGTTTCCCCAAGGTGTGATAGGTAATCTTGCACGCCAATAGGCATAGAATCTCCCATGCTTGCCTACAGACCCCTCAGCAAGAACTTCTGGTTGTTAGAAACAGGCGGTACGTACAGGATAATGGACCGGATGTCCAGCGGCGTCAGGAATCAAGGCAGTTATGTTGGTGAACAGAGAGTAACCGGCCGCTCCATATCCCCTGGACCAGGTCTGAGCAGCGGCTCCGTCAAAGTCGTTTCCATAGTTCTGCGGAGGTTCGGTCGTTGCTCGCGCTAACGTGAAATTAGATGAGACGAGACCGTCAGTATTCGACCAGACGCACCGTAGATGAATTCGACACTTGGGCATTGAGCCCAGATGGCCGGCACCAGAGCCGCAAGAACGGCAAGTGAAAACTGCATGGTGAGAACGAGACTTCGCCTGATATTCCCGATCTTTGGAAGAGTCTCTGACTTTGGGGGTCTCGAACTGGGTTCAACAATTCGAAACAGAGCTGAATATATATACATATGACGGGTCGCGGGCATCCAAACCTGCGATCGGCTGACTGGTCATGTTCATCGTCAGATTGTCTTCCCATTTGTATGTGGAAATTGCCCAAGGAGCGTAGCAGATTGAAGCTCTCCACCTCCATACGTGACTGGAAGCAATGCTGGAGTGACATGTTTATCTTGGCCTGGAAAACTGTTTCAGGGTATGAGGAAGAATTACCCCTTTGGGGGGTCGATATGCACGAACTAAGCGAGACCGATGAGGAGAATCGACGTAGATGCGGATAAATATATTGCTCGCCCATGCGCTGCCCTGGTGTTGCGCCTTCAGATAAAACGAACCCAGCTCCTTGGCTGACGGCAAAAATCTCCAGCTGCAATACATTGTGATTAATATCATCCCTTTTTGAACCCTAGTTCACGACTTGAAAGCGGGAACGAGGGAGCGAGCGAGATGATCTGCAAGCGAACCATATTTCATAGTAGTAATCTTGCTAGCGTCAAGGTGATTGGCTTGAGAAAATCTGATAGTTACGGTAATAAGGAAATTGAAGAAAGGAGATGAAGTGATGGTGAACGTCACGAGTTCACTGCCCATGACCTGTTATGCAAACCTGGTGCTGAGTGATATATTCATGTCATAACCTCATTCATCGCTGTCTACCGGTACCATCCCAATTGTGCTCTCTGCAACTCTGAACCATCACGACCTGCACTCCATGCCCATTAAAGTATAGGGCTTTTTCGCGCTCTGTAGAACCGAGTGGATTGGTTTCATGGTTCTAAGAAGTCGGAATGCAAGCATTGTGCCTTACTTGAAGTGCGGCCTTCTATAGGCAATCGGTCTATCGAAGTTCGAACTGATATGAATCTTCCATTTCTGGACATCCATTTGGAAATTCAGAGGTACAGATGACATCCGTTGTCGGTGCAAACCCCTCGAAGAATAGGATGTATAGGTATTCAGACGGCAGGCAGTAAAGCTCCCAGTTATTGTGGCAAGATGCTGGACATGAGGAGAAGTATAATCGTAAGAGCACGGAAGACGAGACTGAAAGATGGAAATCCCTCAAGTACATATTGCATACCAAAACCGCCTCGCTCGCTTTCGCACTAGCTACGACTATGGGCGGAACATTACTCGAGTATCCGTCTTAGTCCAACCTGGTTTCCAGGGTTCCTGGGAGGCAACACATTGGGAGAGCGGCAGGGTGATAACCCAGGTAGTTGACACAATATAACTACCGTAGGTAGCAGGTGACCTGGGATCGACCTTTATTGTTCACTCAAGGATAGCGAGTCTTGTTTTACAGCAGCGAGTTTCATCCCTACCGGTATATCATCCCCCTGATGCATTCTCCGACGGGATGCTTATTTGGTATGCGACAGCCTCCCAGTACCAAGTCTCTGCCTGGATATCTTTTAGAAAATCAAAGTCGATGGGTTTCAATGGCGCTTCGTTCTACGTTAACTGGGCACTTCTGGAGGGACAGTTAGGCGAATTCACAGCGGACGGCGTTTTGGCTTGGATCCTTTCTTCGATGCCGCTAAGCAGGCGGGAATATACGAGTATGCTACCAAATTTCCAGACCCGGACTATATGAACTACGCGATGCGGCAATTCCACAAAGCCGGAATTGTAGTTCTTATTATCAGCAACGATGCCTTCCCCGACCTCCCACCGCGCAATGGACTATGAAAAAAGTAAGGAGCAAAAAGCTCACGCCCCGCAAGTGCGGAAACGGTACGAAAACCGCCCGGTGGAAACTCAGGGAGGGTTAGGTTTTGGGATGTCAGCCTGTCTTCAGAGTACATTTATCCGCTCTTTCACCAGGTTCGATGCCGCTTTAAGTGTAAAGAATATTTTCAAGCTCCTACTATGGCAGCAAGCGATCGCCACGGTCCTCATTGGTCATATGGGACTGGACTAGAACTGGGTCATTGGTGTAGACGAGTTCTAACAGCCTCGCGGAATCCTCGACTCTGACATTTATTAGCCAGCAATGAAGCATTGGGCTACTGACTTCTTCCTTGGTATTCGATATTCTGGCATAGTCCTAAATCAATTATGTAAATAAGCGTTGGAAATCATGATCGTCAATCAATGATGATCCGGGCCAACAAGCTGGTCACAGTGACCCTCAGTGTAAATAAGGTACACCAAGACGGTACAGTCCAGTGCAAGAGATTTCGAGGCAGTCTCATCTGGATTTCTCCTTTGTTTGATCTGTCTAATAAATAAGGGCGGCAAACGTCAAAATACACTGGTTGATGCCGTTTCTTATTCTATGCTGTAGACACTGATTTGTCAGAGCGGACAAAAAAGTCCCCAGCCAACACCGAATCTCTGAAGCCACGCAATTATAGTTTACACACAATGACTTTGCACACAATGGCCATGTCCTCATCAATGCCTGCCGGAAAACAACAATGTCAAATACCACCGGGAGATAAAACCTCGTTACTCGGTGCCTAAGTCGTCTGCTTCCTTCAGCTTTCCAAAGAACAACCTTCTTCACGAGTAATTATACTAGACAGTTGACTCTCGAAGAAAAACTTACACCGGGTCCCTCTTCCAAAATGGGTCGAAACACTTCCACACCGGAGGAAAGTCTCTCATCCATGACATGGAGCTGCTGTCGTTGCAAGATGGCGATGCTTTGGTCGAAGGGGGAGTGCTGGTGTAGGCACAAGAGGTGCAGGAAATGCCCGCGGAACTATCCCTACGGCCCTGCCCCCTGGATTTGCAGACACTGCCGGACGTTGAATGGACGAGGAGAGAACTTCTGCCGATGCTGCCAGAACGATAAGACCACCGTCCCTGGTGGCTAGGCGATGGGGTTGAGGTAAGTTGGCATGACTTCGTTTTGCTTTGTCCTCGGGTTCTTCGAGGAAGACGGCGTGGACGATGCATGGAACACACAATAGTAGACAAGAAAATCGACAATGTATGTCCAACTGGCGGCTGGGGTTCTATCTAAACCAGAATTCGCACATGCGAAGTGATAATGCTCTTTTTTTCTCAAAAGGAAATAGACATGTGGCCTGATTATAATGCTCGGACGCTTTTAAGACGAGCATAACCGTACCCAGGCGTCCAGGGGGTCATAGACTTTAGCATTCCGGTCGCGTCGGTTCAAGGGAAATCTTCCATACAGAACCAGGGTCGATGATTCTCATATGGTCTTCCTGGCAGTTCCCAAGGTATGCTATCCAATGAGCCACCCTCGCACAGAGCAAAATCCAATTCTTCGCCCTTCTGTTCCGGTGAGGCGATCCGGAATATGACGCCGCACTCCCAGTTTGCGCAATTGATCTTCAGTTTCTTCGTGGCGCGATCTGTAACCAATTTGCCCCAGGCACTCTCCGACAGGTTGTGAGATCCGACGTAAAGATAGGCAGGGTCGATCGAACCGGCTCCTCTGCTGCTCGAAGCGTCTCCCTGACTGGCGACCGAGACATGGCGCACCAGAATCATCTTACTGTGACTTAGGATGCCCGCCCGGCGAGAAACATGATCCCTCATAAGTTCTTTCGGAAAGGTGTCGGCATTCCACCATTTCGACATCAGGAAGATCGTCCCACCGGAGTCGGTGCCTTTCGTACTGGTTGCTACAGTGTCGTACGTAGGAAAGAATATCCGGAAGACGCGTTTTAGGAGTTGGATGGGGTTGCTGGTCGCGCCTTTCGTTGGCTGTTTGACTTCGCGACCGAGTAAGGCATCGTAGAAAGTGGATATGAAGGGATAATTCAGCGCACCGAGCGAAGCCGTGGCGTAGTCGACGTGAACTTCAGAGCCTTTCGCTGTGGAAGGCTGGACGAACAGTGCTTTTCGTCGCTCCACCTCCATGCCAAGATTGCGAACGCTGCGGCTGAGTCCGAACAAGCCCGTCTCCGCTGGTCCTACGATGTGAGATCCGCCAACCGAGTGGACGAATTGGATGTGCTTGGTGTTGGTATAATCGAATTTCAAAAGGCCGTCGATGACGTAGGGCGGGAACGTGGAGCTTTCGCAGAACGAGAGCAGTTCTCGACCAAAATCGGTTAGGTCTTTCCGAGCGGTCAACTTCCCGTCCGAACGCCGTGGCAGGTCGATGAGGAAGAGGGAGTTCTCCATGACGCCGGAGACTCGATTGTTCGGGTTGGCCGACTCTCCCCAATCATACGGGACGAGATTCGCTGTTGGGATGACGACGCGTATCCAGTTCTCGAAAGAGAGCAGCATGAGCTTGCTGTGCATCCGATTGACTTGACCCGGCATAGGAGGGAAGCAGAGCACCAAGTTTTTGTAGTGGTCTGCGTCTGTTCTCCATTGCTTCCGAACCTCCTCTTCTTTGGCTTCCATGACGAAGACCAGCTTAGTCGTGGGCTTCACTTTGTTCAAGATCCATTCCATGTCCCATTGAAATGCACTCAGAACTGCCAGCCGTAGGTCGGAAGGTCTCAACACTTCCTCGATCTTTATGTCGTTGTCTCGTGGTTGTCCGAACACCCAGGTTTTGCGGAGGAGACCACGGACATTCGGGAAGGGTGGTGGTGCGTCTGGGCGTGCCGGAGATGATTTCCTATCTTCAAGGTCTAGCTTTTGCTTCTTGCTTCCTGCATCGTCTGATTCAATGGAGATTGTAGACGAAGAGTGCCGTCTCTTGTGGGGTGCACTATCAAGCTGTGAGTCTCGGTTCATAGAATTGATACGTGTTAGTTGGAGAGTGTAGTGACATGTAAATTCCGTGGAAACGACTTGATTGTTGCTTGTTGAACTGTGTCGATATACCTAGCTTGTGAGGCTCCATACTGAATCATTGCAGCGGACTCTTTTTTGCCATTTGCTGTGTTATTGTTCACGTTCGATTTGTTGACATCCCGACTGGCCATATTGTCGGATGGGAGCGGTGAACCATGAACATCCTGCAGAGACAAGGCAATTGCTCGTCTAAGCTCTTCATCCTCGTCATCAGACGTCATTTTCTAGCAGCGTTTGAAAGATGGCTGTTGGTGTCGCAGGAGAATGAAAGTCGGTTGCTATGTGCCAGTTGCAAAGTGGCAGTGGACGTGAATCGCGTCAGGGACAATCCTGGCCAATCCACCAATCACGAGCAGTATCTAATCCATACAGATCCAGTGTGTTGTATTATCAACTGGACATCCATTTATTAACAACAAAAAGTCTTTCCCAGCTTAGGAAAAGATACCTAGTCGAATACATTGCCTAGGAGGAAGCGATGATTTAACAGTTAGAGATTCTCCGGTAGCTTTTATTCCGTCTTCCTGATTTGTTCTACATCCAACGGCCTGCATTTCCACGCCAGAACAGTGCCTCATGTACCAATATCAACCTCAATACTGTTGACCAATTCCATCTTACCTCGTCCCTTTTTAAAATGCTACCTACTTATTAAGCCTCAACCAATCTGATACAATCAACTATCATCATGTCCAACCCCTTTACACCACGCTTAAAACCTACCGTCCTGATTTGTGAATGCGGCCGGTCTGCCTATTATCTACACCCGTACCAGTTACTACTCGATCTACATGCTGCAGAAGCAACTCCATGGGAGCGAGGCTCCGACGAACTCTGACAACTCCAGACTGGCACCGAGGTACCTGATATCGGGGACCTCGCTGAGTATTACAGGTGAGGAAGCACACTTCACGGGTTGACCTGGGATTGACCGAGATACCTAATATCGGGTGTTTTCTCGAGGTCGATATAAATACCTGATATCAGAGGTTTTCTCGAGGTCGACAGAGATATCCGATATCGTAGATTTCTTAAGGTCACCGAAATACCTGATATCGGTTGTTTTCTCGAGTCGGCCAAAGTATCAGGCATCTCGCTACCGCACATGTAAGTACATCTCCGGGCTCCGCCTCGGATGGCGGAGACGGTGGATACGGTGTGGTTGAATGTACTTTCCAAGCGTTGAGTCGACATGTCTAGGTTCCGAGCGGATTTTGATTGAATCATTGAAGACTCGTAGGTTTAGGGAATCGACCTCGACTGCGTGGGGAAGATTAGATCGCCAAAGAGGGCCAAGCTGGGCTCAGAACTGTGGATATCATTTGATGGGGCTGTTAGTTGCTGATGCTGGTGGACACTAGACGCTAGACACTGAACGTCCATCGTCGATCTTGGACGACCTTCGAGGTAGATTTGAATGCTCTCTCCGTGGGCCGGTAATGAAGTCCTTGAGGAATATCACAGGCACCGTCGAGCGCTGAGCTTGCACCTTCCGTCTTTGCACCTGTTGGTAGAGTGTTGCAATAACTACTAATAATATATCTGACACTTTAGTTCAAGACTATCAGCATTGCATTTAGCAGGAGTTTGTTCCCCGTCACGGGCTGGAGACTGGCGTGGCTTGTGGCTAAAACACGGCTCGGTCGTCGAATACGAACGCTGGGCACTTTCTTATGGATCATGGAACTGCAGAGCGGATTTCCCCGCATCCTGAATGCTGGGCGAAGTCTTGGGATGGAAGATGCCGATTCCCCCCTGTACGGTTGCTGATTCTTTCAAAATCTCAGCAGCTAGCACTGAAGCTAGACGTCGTTGCTGAATGCACAGGGTCGATGCCCTCAGCGTGTGCTACGAGGGGATGTATCTGGACGCTTTTTTCGATGAGAAACTCGACCACCGCTCACCGAGCAGGGGTCGGGTCGCCTAGAGTTCCAGCACCCTACTACGTTCAGTCGAGCGTCGATCGGAATCCAACAAGACGGAACAGTTCGCGCGGAAGGTTTAGGGCCGAGGGAAATTGCGCAAGCCGTGAACACGCTTACCAGTATTGCTGGTGGGTGAAAATTCGGTCTGTAACTCTGCATTTTCTGATGCAACTCATGCATCACCGCATTACATTAGCTTCGCGGTGGCCATTGGTCGAGGCAGGTAAGCGATCGCATTGCGGTGTTCAGATGTCTTCTAACCTTCTCGCATATGCCCTTCAGGTTTCTGCTGACGGGGATGTTTGAGTGATTTCGCGGGTGGGACGAACGTCAAGTATCACTGTGGCGAAAGCACCCACCAAACTGCAACTGGTATGGTGAAATATATGATTGATTGATGCAGGGGAGGAGGAGGTTCCTTGGGGAGGGCTTCGTCGGTTGCGTCGCACCACTGTACCGAGCAAGCAATAAGTGCACACAGATATGCGTCTGCAGGATGCGGTTCACACTTCGACGCGATGCTCCGGGTGACGTGTCCGCTGGCTCCATCCTTCGATGCGACTCCAATCAACGATCTTACCAGTTACCGCGCTGTTTCTTCCCATTCCGACTCCTCGGGTTGTGGGGTTGGACTTGGAGCAGCGAGGTTGAAATCGGGCCCGCACAATGGCGGTCGTACAAATCGCGATGCCCACCAGGAACAATGCAAAAACAAGATATACCGTTGAAGCTTGCTTTCACGTCGCTTGCAATTTTGGAGCGTGAAAGTGGCAGCATATTTCAATGTAAAAGGCGCTTGGTCCTGAAACATCACCGCTGGAGTCTGGGACTATCGACTGACGGATCGGTCCCAGAACCAAATGGTGCCTTGGAGACGGAGGCTAGAGCCATTTCCAGTACCATGATTCCATGACTGGGAGCTTCGCTAGCCCTCCGGAACTGCAACCTCTATCGTCCAGAGTCCAGACTTTAATATATTAATTAAAGAATAAAGTCTGACGTGACTAATGATAATGATAATGATAAGGAACCGGACCATGTCCCCTCGAAAGGTTCCGCCCTCTTCGGCCACGCCGGCTCGCGATCCGCTTCTTCCCACGACATGACTTCGCGGGAAGTTCACATTGCCATATGAATCGACCATCCGTGGTGGTGAGTCTCAGATCCGATATCAGTAACAGAGCTGCTCCTGTGGGGTTATTTCGGTAAATTGCAGCTAACGGCTAAAGCGATATCTGTGCCGAAGGACATGACTAAAGTAGTAGAACCGCTTACCCTGGCTCAGGATGGTGCACATACCAAATGCCTGCCCGTCCTTTCAGGCAGTTCGAATGCCAATCGCCCATGGATCGTTATTCGTTGGCACTTAATGGAACAGCCGACCTCCAGTCGATTGTCGAGCCACCGTAGTCCGATTCTTCGACCTGTTCATATCTCGGTTGAGTTTATCTTCGAATATCAGCTCATGTTCTAGATTCCGAGTCGACCGTTGCAGTGAGTAAGGCGAAGACTTTCGGAGAGACGATTGACACCCTAAGCAGCCTTGATAAAAGTGTCAAGAGAAGGCGGCGAACTGTGCAGCCACTGAACGGAACAGGGGCAGCAGAATAGCCATTGGACTGAAGTACAAGACTCAAGAGTCATGACGGCCTCAAAGTCAGCCCCGTAGATCCCGGACTGACTAACGACGGGGTCGGTACATCTTCCTTCGCGGTTCGATGCGAAGCACACAGGCAGCAAGAGGTCTACGTCGCTCCTTTATAATTTCATTCCTCGGAGCGACAGCATTCAAGCCTCAAGATCTAACGTCCCAAACATGACGGCCAATCGCCAAGGCCTTCAGAAGACGAGACGTCAGACAAAGGAAGGATCAAGGATGGGGATTGGGGCACAAGGGAAAGCGAGTGACTTAACTTAGTTTAGCGATCATCAAGTTTGCGATGACCTCGGAGAGAACGGAGTCAACGCAAGCGAGGCCAGGGATCCCCCATGCCCAGGGCAACGAAATAGCGTGCAGCATGGTGCAGACGCAGAACAATTCCTCGCCCAAGGTGCCGGGACTTGGGGGGTATTGGGTGCATTGGGCCCGTTAGGGGACGTTTGCAGCGAGGCTAAACCCGCCCGAGTGCCCCCAGTGGCCCCAGGTGCCCCCATCCCCGAGGGGCGTTCCGCATCCCTCCCCCCTCCCCGCAATTCCTCCGCCCAATACCCACCCAATAATCTGCACTGCCGTCCACCGCCCATCCTCCCGCATATCCCAGTGATTCCCAGCGTTTCTACAGGATGAACGCGGTGGACTTGTTGCCGGAACTGCACTAGCCGCCTTCACTAAGACATGTTCGCCAGACTAATTCCCGATTGTGGGAGGCCCGCGGCTTCTAAGTACCCTACTTATTGTACCCTCACTCTACAGTATTGTACGGCATTGCCCAACCACCACCGGTCTGGTCTCTAACCGATAGGCGCTTGACCCAGTACATCACTCTTCTCATCAATAATCAGCAAGAATTCCATACGGCACATGCTCATGTACCGATTCCCCTGGCGTTTCTCATGCCCCTTCGACGTTCGTCTTGTACTTCGTACCCTCCTTTACGCCCCGTGGGTTTGGCGCGCCTCCCTGCCAGCTGGGCCTCATCCATGACTAGCTGGTGCTGTACACCTTAGTAAGTAGTGTATCCAAAGCTGCTGCTGTGGTCCTGTGGTCTTGTTGCACTGTCGCCCAAACGCCGTGAACCCTCCCCTAAACCCCCCCAAACCCCCCAAATCCCGCCCAAGACCCCCCCCATCAATGAACAGTAGCGTCGGCGTTTTGATTATCTGCCACCCTTCAGCGTTCAGGCCTCTCACCCAGCGTCCCAGCTTTCCCTTCGCGTGGGTCATGCCATCCATCGTGCGCCCGTGTGCCGTCGTTCCCATGCTTTCTTTCCTGTGCTGTGAGACACGATTGCTTCCCTTTTCTTGTTCTTCTCTTTCCGTCCTTTCTCGCCTTCTCCTCCCCTTCCCATCGTTCGACCCTCGACTTCCCACCACGAGAGACGTGGACCTTTATTTTCTTTTATTATTACCACTCGCCGTCGCCGCTGCTGTGTTTCGGCCGCTGCATCGTTGATCCCCTTTCGAATTGCCGTGGTCCACCCAGGTACCAATTTGTCGGTCGCCGGGCCTGGTGTCGAGTTTTAGTGAACCCCATTTCGCTCAGCTCTGAACCCTCCTTCCGTCTTACACCACACCGAATTCCTCCCTTCCTTCCGCCCACCATCATCAGTCCGACCCGATGCTACATAGAGCGTAATATTCCGGAGAATTTGAAGTCAGTAATTGGACTCGACGAAATTTCTCGTCGCTTGGGACCCGAATACCCTCTCCGAACCGAATCGGACCGATTATCACCATGAGCGCCCCAGTCGCAACGGCCGAGGAGAAGAAGGGCAGGAGGGCCAGTATAATCAAACTCACGAAGAAGGTCAAGGGCATCTTCAAGGCAGAGTCGACTCCTGGCACATCCAAATCGGCGACTTCTGCAGCGAAGGATGCCACGCCTGCAGCCACAGCCACAAAGCCTACCGAGGCCTCAAGGTACGTTTCGCATCGCTCTGGAACCATCAGCGATTGTTGCTCTAACGCGACTCCCAGTGCCGCGAAACCCACCGAACCGACACCCGTAGTAGTGTCCGCCATCGACCGAGCGACCCTGCAGCAGGAGCGCACCCGAAAATTGTTCGAGAAATACGGCCTCACCCTGAGCGAGAACGAATGGCAACCGCCGCCATCCGCGCCCACCAGCGTCAAGCGCGTCGAGAAGCCCATCCGCATGCGCGTCCGCCGCAACTGCCATCGCTGCAACACCGTCTTCGCCGGCGACAAGGTGTGCTCCAAGTGCGAGCACAAGCGGTGCAAGAAATGCCCCCGCCATCCGTCGAAGAAGCCTAAGGACGGCGCCGCCGAGAAAAAGCCGTCCGCGCCGCCCAAGCACAAGGATCCCGTCATCATCACCCGTGGGAGCCGCCACTTCGTGCGCCAGATCAATCTGATGAAGTACACCTGCCATCAGTGCGAGACGGACTTCCGCCCATCCCTTAATACGTGTGAGCGCTGCGAGCACGCGCGCTGCCCCCTGTGCCCTAAGAGTCGGGCGAAATTCTTCGTGCCGGGCGAGGAGGAGGAGGTGGAGTTGTTGCCGGCCGTGAAACGGGTGCATAAGAAGCCGAGACAGCGCGTACGGTGGACATGCGAGGCGTGCGCCACCACCTTTGTCGAGCGGTCGAAGAAGTGCGAGAAGTGCAACCATGATCGGTGTGACAAGTGCATACGAAAGCCGTACGTTTCCCTTCCATTCCCGGGTTTATGATATGTGTATGAGCGGGCGAATTGCTAACGTCCACCTCAGTCCAAAGAAGGTTCCTAAGGAACCCGACCCGGCCGTCATCGAATCGGTCCAGAGGAAACTGGCTGCAATATCGATAAGCGATCCGGCGGCCGGACCGAAGTCGAGCTAGCGATTGAGATACCCCATCTTGCCTTGACGAGACGGATACGTTGAATGATGGAATCACGATGATTTACGACCTCGCTCCGTTTTGATTATTTCCACACCCAAAACTACCACATCCTGCGTCGTACCCCCGGCATCGCATTTCGATCTTTCTCTGTCTCTTTTGTTTGTTGCAACCAAATCGACGCACCCCCACAGCTCACTCTGTCACTCACCTACGTACTTAGCTACACATCATCCAATACAACTCTCACATCTGTTGCCATAGCCTGCTCGATTGATCTTGTTTTTGCCTCAATCTACTGACTCCACGCATCGAAATCCTCACCGCACAGCTCGAATTACCGACTTCCCTCCCCTCCATCCGCTCTCTGCCCGCATGGCGCATCCTGCGTTCCACCACCGCCCAACAGCCTGCCCTTCTCCACCCCGTCCTCCACGAACGACATGTCTCCGACGTCGTGCGACACCGCCACGCAAAACATCCGCCCCCGACACGTCGCACCGATCCGGTTCCACGGCGCCCTGGCGTCGCTCCAGACCGTTACCCATCCCCTCCGCGCGGTGCTTGCGTGACCCGTCCGCACCGTACTATCGGCGCGGATGGTGGGTTCCCTGTTGGTGTTCGGTGCGACCACGCGCGACCGGGAGCAAACAGGATCACGGCGTGCGGTGTCGCGTGAAATTCTGCTTCGAGCATTGTGTAACCCCCGAAAACCCACAGATTTGACTTTTCGTCGCTCGTTTGAGTCGTTACCCGTTGATCACGCATGTCTGATATTTCCGCATACACGCCGCTGATTGCAACGGAGCCCCAATATCCGTTGAGTTCCCCAGGTCATGCTGGATCCCGTTCAGAAAGTCCCATCTCCGCCATGCGAGGCATACTTCTCGAACATTCGTCCCCACAAACTCGCTTAACTTCTAACCGCCACGATGTCCAGGGAGTCGACCTGCGTTGCCCACGATCGCCTGACATCGCCCGTTCATCAGCTCGCCACCCCACGTCCGGTCTATTGACGATAGTTACAACCAGGACACCCCTTCGCGAGGGCATGCGAGACCCCCACGCGATGAAATCACAGATCATATGGAGACCAGCGTAGCTAGTGCGCAAGCATCGAAGTTCGAACGCATCCATCGGAAGTGGGATATTCGATCATCAGTGGATCGGAAATTGGCATGTCGGATATTAACACTCTCGCCGGGGCCGAAACAGGATGTGTCCGGCTGGGGATTGGGCGAAGGGGTTAGGAGTTAGGACAGGGACATCGCATGATGTGAGATTCGTGCAGGGTAGAGCCGGGAAGGTGAGCCTGGGTGACCATGGAATCAAGGTACAAAGAGGTACCGACCGCATAACTTTGAATAAGCTGGCACGGATGTACTGATGGGTACCCTGGCGGACCGAGTCATCGGCTGATAAACCTTAAAAGGGCCATCAGTTATCAAAGCATCTGAGTTTCACCAGAGCCGCGTGTGCCGCGAGGATGATAGATTGATTCTTATTTGATAGTGTGTCGCTTACCAATGTTTCGAAGCGCGATTTAGAGACGCTGAATGCAACGATGCATAACTCGAACTTTTTTGCGAGAGGACGTTGACCGCCCCGACTCAGGTTCCTCCACCTCCAGCCTCAACCAATCTATCCGAATGTTCCCGCTTCGTTCGCGCCCTCATGTAGACGCTCCTCCATAATTCTTACCGGTATCTGCAGCAAAATGTCGACGAGACTTTAGTTGAGGTATCTACCATCGCAACGGTAACCAGTAGGATACTTTTCCCTTTCCCCGAGCTGGGCGAGCCCGCGCAACCTCCGGCGTCCGTTCCAAGTCCCAAGTTCCCAACGTGTCTGCGGGTTCGATAGTCGATGCGGCATGCGATTCTCCTGGATCAAACCGCGCCTAGGGCGCACGTATTGAATCGTATATGAATCTACGGGGGCCACGTTTCGTTGGTTCAGAGTTAAGGCCACGATAATACCGCGCCCATATGTCTCATCCCTTATCGAATTTCCAGCGCCAAAGTCGATCCAGTTTGATGAGGACGGTGATGTGGCCCTGGAGGCTTGAGCCCTGGAAGCTACATATGGCTGGAACCCTTTTGGGGGTCGAGCATGTCTGACTTCCGCTAGCTCCCCTCGTTACCGGTGCGTTGGGACTTCTGGGAACGTTTCCCGAACAGTGGTTGGATATGAGAGTCATGTTCGATGCTGCCATTGGTGGTTCTTGGTTTCCTTGCGCACTTTTTGACTCATGAATGCATGGGTGATTGACTTTAGACGGCTCTCGGGGGTTCCACTTCCCGTAAGTCCGTTTACGGAACTTGGCGGAGGACCGTTGAACGTTGATCTTTCTAGGTTGGGGCGATGGGTTAAGCGACCGCAGCATCGGAGGCTCATTCGTTATTCAGCCTCTCATTTCGACTCCTTTACGGAGCGTTGTTTGAATAGTTGTGGTTGGGCAGAATAGTTCAGGCGGAGAAGGTGGTTGGGGTGCGGGAGCAGCCGCGGCCGCCGTCACAGTGGGTTGTTGAGTAGTGACTGGCGCCCAGCAAATGGGTAAGTGACAAGTGTGTATTAATAGGATGGATCTTCGCATGAGGAGCATCATTGGGAACTTGGGATGAGTTGATGAATGATGGCGGACCAGCAATGCACTCGGCATCGTGCCGCTGCGTCTGAATCGCTTCAAAGGTAGAATTCTGTTGAGTATAAGTTCCCATTCCAGCTACAACCCAGGCTTCGTCATCTCTTCGAGGAAGTCGAACGACCGCGGAAACTGTTGGCTAACAGCTTGCCGCTGCGGCATTCAGTTTGGGAAATATGCGGCACAGCTGTCGAGCAGATCCCCTCTGTTCATGGAGAAGAGTGATCGACCAATGTTAGATGGAGCAGCACCAGGAAGGTCCATTCCGCTCAACTTCGACTATTGGTGTCTTCTCCTGTCCTCCTGAGATGGGTGCTGATGACCGATGAGATCGTCGTGGGCGCCTTGGTACCCTTCAGTATGTCGTTGATTTCAAATCCATCGTGATAAGCTTGCGGGGTGACACGATGTGAGGGAGTTGCGGTGATAGCCAAATCCGTGCCACCATTCGATCAGCTGCACTCCAATCCCAGAACCCAACGGGTAGAAGTTATGCTTCTCTTTCGTGTCCGGCCTGGGCGACTTGCAGGATCTCATCCTCGAGTCCCGAGATGTGGACGCATTCGACGCCGTGCTCCTCGAGCTGGCTCCGCCCTCGATTCTCCCCGACGAACTTCTCCGGTTCGTGGACGCCCGTGTACACCGTTCGGACCCCTTCCGCACCACCATCTCGGGTTTGTAGAATGCGATCTACGCAGGGGAGGTTCCCGCTCAAGCGGAGCGCGCATGGCTCCATCGTCGTGTACAGAACCGTGCCGGGCGGGAGGAATTGCCCGATCTCCGCCACCGGGCGGTGATATTTCTGCGCGAACTTTTGAAGCGCGCATTGCTCCGCGTGCGTATTGCCTTCCAGCTCGAGGGTGTAGCCCGTGGACAGGACCTCGTCCCGGATGGAGTCCACCAGGACGGCGCCCACGCAGAAGTTGGTCGGCTTTGGAGGGGACTTACGGGCCTCTGCAAGGGCTAGCTGCATGTAATGCCGATGATCGGGCATTGTGACCAGTATCGTATAGTCCTGGACGTCGGATATGTGAGGGCTATCTACAGTCAGTTGGATTAACTGTACAATGGAGTATGGGCAAACCAACACGGGAAGTTGGTGATGATCAATTTCCTATAAATCGGAGCTTGATACAACCAAAAATCGTATAGATACCAATGAAATTTGGTGCCTTAAGGCCTTAGGCGTCAAATGAAATCTACGTTGCTGTTGGTAGTGGTTCATCCCGCCGCAAACAAACTTCCGATTTTGTATTACCCCGTTGGGCCCGTACAAGTACAAGTTACAAGTTGCTCCTTACAAGTCGCTCCAGGACAAGACTCCTCTGGTGGAATCAACAGCGCGTCATGTCGCTATAGAGTACCTGCAAATGCCAGCAAGTTATTATACTGGGGTTAAGGTACTATCAACTTGTCTATCATTGGCGACTTGATGGTTCGCGTTGCTCATAATGCTTCATGCCATATGGGGCGTCCACATCTTCCATCCTGCATCGGTAGCAGTTCCAACGAAATAACCCGAATCTAGTGCGGAAATGATTTCTTCTAGATGGTTGTCATTCCCCATGCCATATCCGACCTCGATCCCGCAATTCTGCAACTCCCAGACCCATTCTCCAGACGCGCCCAGCGCGGCCTCCATCCAGTTGATAAGCGTGCTGTTCAGCTGGGGACCGGCAACACCTTGCGGCATCAGCTCGAGAGACTTTCGGAAGGGCCGTTGAAGCAAACTGAGGAGGTCCCGGGATGCTTTCTGGAGGTCGGAGGAGCCGTGTTTGATGCCGAAAAGGTACTCAACCGACGACTCTTCCTCGATGTCCCTGCCGAGGTTCTCGTTCACTTCCCCATCTACCGCGTTTTGCAATGTGCTGAGATAGGTCTGCAACGTCTCCCGAAACCGCGTGGCTACGTCATCGACCTCTCCGCAGTAATCGAGCGTGTTGATACATGTCGTCGCAAGGGTCATGTCGGCGGACCAGGAGGCTGATGGGAACCCATTCAGCACTTTCCGGACCGCGGTGTATAAGATGATGATCCCAGCCGTATATGCGGTATAACTATCTTCCGTAAGCAGGTTGGCCTGGGCCATACGAGAATACGTACATGCATAACCAACAAATCTGCACCATGGCGTCATCCTCTTTCATCAACGCGAGGATTCTCGTTGCCATTTTGGCCGCCATCAGTCCTTCGCGAACAGCAGCATTCACGTAGGATGACGGCGCTATAAACGAAAGGTCGACCGACTGATCAAAGGCCAAGGAGCTTGCCATGGCACGGCGATGCAGGAGCTCCATGGCCGAGAGATAGAAGAGATGGACGTAAAAGATGGCCCGTCGCAACCGTTGGTCATGCCGTTGCTCCTGAAGGTTACGGATGGCCATCCGTTCCGGCAATCCGTCATAGAGGGTTCGAAGCTCTTGGCGAAGCCAATCGATGGTCGCATCGTTCGCATTGTTGGCGGTGCTTTCGTCGGGCATCGTTTGGACGATTTTCGCCTTGATGATGGTGATCTTGACCATCTCCAGTTGGACGATCCCGTCCTCGCCAATGTCCTTCTCCCCTTCCCACAGTTTCAACGCACCGTTTGCATGCGCCGAAATGTACCCGAGGGTCGCCCCAAGCCAGCTATAAGATTGGGGTCAGCAGCACGCGTTACCACGCGGAATCGGACGTTTACCCTGAAAACAGCACGAGGGTCCTCCAGGTGCGCTTGTAGTCTAGGAACTCTTCCGCGCTCAATGTTGGCGGACACTCGGGCTTATCCATGCCGTGGCGGTTTCCCAGCGCGAGTCCCAGTTCTGATAGATATTAGTCGACGAACATGTTCGATGAGGAGCTTGAGGTGACGATACCGACATATTCCAGGGCCACGGAGGCCTTCACGACGATGTTGTACATCGCCAACAAAGAACAGACCTTCATCGCCCGCAGCGGATGCGCCGCGATGGAGCTGTCTAGCATGAGCTTGGAGATCACATAAAAGTACTCCGCGAGAGCTGCCGGCGGTCCGCTATCCTGATCCGACCGCCGTTCGTAATAGATCCCAACGGCCGCCATTCCACACAGTTCGGCAATGCGCGCCCGGTCTTGCAGGTCGGCGTTCTCCTTGAACACGTCGAGGAACGCGGTCTCGGGCTGTGTCATCTGCCCAAATGCGGAGTGAAGGAGGTCGTCGACCTGCTCCTGAGTGAACGCATAGTACAGGGTGCCTGTGCATTCAGAGAAGGCCGTGATCGCCTCCGTCATCGACACGATGGTTATATTTTGGCTGCTCTAGCGTAGATTCAAGCCTTGTGCTTCCTGAGTCTTGGATGCCGCACCGCTCGCTTCCGCGTCCACCGCCTTCATCGATGCCCTCGACGCCGATTCGCTTGGCGCTTCCGAAGATTCCATGTGTGACCCATCATCTAGGGAGTTGATGGAGGCAGCTGACAGGTGGATCGGGGGTGAACCGAGTCCATCTCCGTCCCCGATCCGATCTTTAAGCCACTGTCGCATGGAATGGACATCGACCGATCCTGTCCTGATAAATTGGAGAAAGTCATTCGCCGCCTCGGCCGATTTCGTTTGCAAGAACCACAGGATCTCGACCATCGTCGCATTGTCGGCTTCGAGCTTCTCGATCCGCTCGTTTCGTGCCGCCGACCGAGTCAGACCTGATGGGACTTCGTAATGGCAGGGCGTCCATTTGAGCCCGCACGAATAGCAGACCGGACGGGCACCGTCGCACTGTTGTGAGTACATAGAATAGTCAGAGAGTCGAGATGTCGGACAACCAGGGGATGACTGGACAGGGGACGGTTAATTCATGATCGCCACATACCTTGGTACGTCGGGTTTGGCATGCGGCACACGCGACGCCGATGATCGACCGTTTCTTACTGGAAGGGTTACCGGCGCCCGGTGGAAGGGTTTGTGCGTATCCGGACGAGTCGCCCGGCGGCTTGGGAAGGATCGCGCGTTGCTGCGAGGACATGTTGCCAGTGATATGTTTTCTTCGGTGGTGGATTCCGGGTTCGGGTGCGCATATCGGGACCCATGTCGCGTGTGGAACCTTAAAAAAGGTGCTAGTATCTTACAAATGAGGAAAATTCTGTGCGAAGGTCGGACCTATCCAGGCGGACACCACGGCAATGGAATCGGAGTGGACTCTTCGGGGGCTTGGGAGGGGGCGCCAGCTCAGCGACGAGGCGGTTCACATATGTATCTCTTAACTAGGTACGTTTGCATCAGTCCTCAGTCAAGACACCGTGATCGGAACATGGTGCCATTGCGCCAATTCTAATCCACAGGATTGGCGGATGGGCTTCGCCTGGGGCGACGATTGGAGGGAGTCGGTGCGCTGCGACTGTCAGAGCACCGAAAGCTGGAAATACCACTCCGCTGAGAGTCCGCCTGCGATGGTCGAGTCGGGTTTGGAACAAAGGCGTAGACCAGCGCCCGTAGGGGAAGCAAGACTTGATGGGGCAAAAAAAAGGAAATTATATCTGCTCAGGAGAAGTTTTTTTTCAATATTCCTGCTGCAAAACCGTCGTACTAACATTTGCTGATCCCAAGCAGAAATCCTGTTTCAGTGTCATATGACCGCCTGTCTCCATCCAGGTATTATGAATATACGAGTCCTGGTCGTCCAGCCTAACGTGCTGGGATCCACATGCTTTACGCTAACCACGAGGCATTTACCCATTCAAGCGAAGATGATAACGATGAATGATGATGGATTTCAGAACATGTCGGACTTGACACTAAAGGCGTGCTACCCATGCCGAGCGTTGCTGGAGGTTCCTAAAACGGCCGATTCCGCCAAGAGCCGAAGGAATAATGCTGGGACGACGGAGCATAGTCCGAAGATGACATTCAAGGAACTTCCAGGCATTATAGTAATCTTGAATGCGTCATTGATGGAGACACTCAAAGCTGCTTTCATTAGGTTGACCATTCAGCACGGTGGCTTGGATGCTAACCGTTCCTGTATCAGCATCATAGTCGACCCGTTGAAACTCGTTGGACAACGACATGAAACCGCTGCTGCCCCGGCGTTGTGATTGTGCTTGAACGACAATCTCGGTGACTCCAGCCGATGAAACCCACAGGGAATGACCAAGAGCATTGAAAGTGACCAGAAAGCCTCGAACTATGTCGCCAGCGAGAGGCCGGCATAATCCGCCTGACAAGGGATGATGATACTGGTGCTGGGAACGCAAAACCATAGGGCTGAAATCACACCGTTTCGGCTTATTCCAAAGCGTCAGCTGATACCTGGAATCGTCCCCTAAATGTATGACTTCATTGGCTCAAGACGCTGTCCAGTGTCGGAGGCGCCTGTGAGTGTGTCCGATGATCTACTGCGGTACAATAGGGATGGTGTTGACGGTCGTAAACTGGAATGCAATGATTACAGAATCGTCGATGCTAGATCAGGGAACCAGTTCAAGACGACAGGCGGGACGAACATCTAACATCGAGGCAGTGACACGGTCGAAGGGCGAGCAAGACGCCATCTCGTCAGTTTGATTGATTACAAACGGCTGGTGCGAAATAGGGGAGAACAGCCGTGAGCCACGAATGGCTCGACCAGCCGGTCCGTTCTCATGGGAAAGGGGTCATCATGATTGCTTGAGACAGATTGCTTTGCGGTGTCAACGAGATTCGCGAGGTGGACGGGAAAAATTACGCTCGTTGTCAAAAAGAACTTAAAATACATTTTGAAGAACCTTTATCAAGTGCAGGGGACGCCGAGTAAATCGCATGACATCTATAATGACAAGACCATGGCCAAACCCACGGCGAGGAATACTCTACTCCCCTTTCAGCTTATCTTGCGTGACGGTGAACGCCATCTCCAGCAGCTCCCTCTCCTCCTTCTGGTGGACCGATTTCAATCCGGTGGCCACGCTGGCGCTGGGGTGTCGTCCGGCGTACATGGCGTGGCGGCGATTGTGGTGTTGGGTCTCGTTCAGCAGCGTCTCGAGTCGGGGCTGGGCAAAGCTCCAGCCGCCCGCGTTGAGCGGCTCTTCTTGGCACCACACGATGGTCTGGGCGTTCTTGTACGAATCCAAGTTATCCCGCAACTGTGCCCAGGGGAACGGATGAAGCTGTTCGACACGGGTGATGGCTACGTCCTTCAAGCCTTCGGAGTCGCGATACTTGGTGAGGGCGGCGTACACCTGGCCCGTGCACATGATGACCCGGGAAATTTTATCGTGCGACTCGATCGCGCCGGTTTCGTGGGCAGGGTCGGGAATGACCCACTGGAAGTGGGAGTCGCCGGTGAACTCTTCAATGGAGGAACGAGCCAGGGGGTGTCGGAGGAGGGATTTGGAGAAGAACAGAATCAAGGCTAACTTGGTTAGTCGGACGGAATCAAGAGGTAGGGCAACCACTTACGCTTGCGGAATTGGCGGTTCATCTGCCTACGCAACAGATGGAAGAGATTAGATGGCTTCGTGCAATAGGCGATCTGCATGTTGCAGTCTTGATGTTGACGGTCCAGCTTGTCGGGGGCCGGGAAGATGCGAGGGTCCTCGTTGCAAAGTTGCAGGTATCGCTCCATGCGCCCAGAGGAGTGCTCGGGACCCTGTCCATCATATCCGTGGGGTAAGCTCATAACCAATCCCGTTCTCTGGAGCCATTTGACCTCTCCGGAGGCGATGAACTGATCGATGATGCATTGAGCGTTATTGGCGAAATCGCCAAACTGCGCCTCCCACATGACGAGGGCGTTGGGCGACGAGAGCGAGTAGCCGTACTCGAATCCGAGCCTGGAGACGGTCAGTCGATGCGAAATAGTGGGGAAAAGAAAACTTACACGCCGAACTCGCTGAGCGATGAATTGGTGATGACGAAGGTGCCTTGATTGCTGGCGAGGTGCTGCAATGGGGTGTAGGTATCTTCGGTTTCCTGGTCGTGCAAGACAGCGTGGCGCTGCGAGAACGTCCCACGCTCGACGTCCTGGCCCGACACACGAACGTGATGCCCTTCCAAGCACAGGGTGCCGAACGCCAATGCCTCCGCCGTGGCCATGTCGATGTTCTGGCCATCCACCACCGTTTTGGTCCGGCCGTTCAGGATTCGCTTGAGGTTCTTATGGACGGTGAAATCAGTGGGCGCGCCGGCAATGTTCTCCGCAATGCGGTTGAGCGTATCGTGGTCGACAGCGGTCGGCAGATGGGGTAGGACTTCGGTGGCCAGCTCCTTGGGCGACTTGAAGCCATTCCACGCCGACGTCAACCATTCCTTCGCGGACGGCAGGTAGTCCTTGCTCCGCTTGAAGCTCTCATCGAGCATACCCCATACCCATTTCTTGTGCTCGTCGATATCAATTTGAGTGAAGGTCCGATCCGCGATCAGCTTCTCCGTGTACAAGTCCAACGTCGGCTTTTGTTCGCTGATGCGCTTGTACATGAGCGGCTGCGTGAAGAAGGGCTGGTCGGTCTCGTTGTGCCCTTGCTTCCGGTAGCAGACCATGTCGATGACGACGTCCTTCTTGAACTCGGCTCGCCAGTCGGCCGCGAGTTGGCACACGAAGTTCAGGGCCTCGACGTCGTCCGCATTCACGTGGAACACGGGGGCGTCGATGGCCTTTGCGAGGTCAGAGCAGTACGCCGTGGAACGAGCAAATCGAGGGTCGGTCGTGAAACCGATCTGATTGTTGACGATGATGTGGATGGTGCCGCCGGTATGGTACGAGGGAAGGGCGTGGAAGCCCATGGTTTCGTAGACGACGCCTTGCCCGGCAAATGCCGCGTCTCCGTGGAGCAGCACACCCATTGCCGAGCGTGCTTCTTCCTCATCCTTGTTGTAGTGGAGGATCGCGCGTGTCTTTCCGAGGACGACGGGGTCTTCGGCTTCCAGATGCGATGGGTTGGCTACCAGGGAGAGCTGAACGCGTCGTCCAGACGGAGTCGGGCGTTCGAAGTTCATCCCGAGATGGTATTTGACGTCTCCCGAACCCTCGTCCGAGGGATCGGCGGTACCGGCAAACTCGCTGAAGATGGATTCGTTCGGTTTTCGGACGACATTGCTCAGAACGTTGAGACGGCCACGATGCGGCATGCCGATGACGATATCCTTGACGCCGTAGTCGACGCTGCGGTCGATCAGTGCCTTCATCCCTGGGATCAGGGACTCGGCACCTTCCAATCCAAAGCGCTTGTCGTTGGGGTATTTGGTCGCCAAGAACGACTCAAAGCTCGTCCCCCAGATCAAGCGATCGAGGATGCGACGCTTTTCGTCTACGGAATATTTATACGGTGTCGGAACTTCGATGCGTTGCCGCAACCAGTCACACTGCTCGCGGTCGGGGATGTGGATGTATTCCACGCCGTAGCTCCCGCAATACATGCGCTCGCAGGCGTTGATGATCTCCTGGAGGGTCATTTTCTGGCGTGTCTCCGTCTTGAACCGCGGAAGGATACCGGGACCCAATTCGAACTCCTGGTCGAGGTCCTTCTCGGAAAACTGGTAGTGTGACATCTCCAGTTCCCTTGGACGCGTGTATCCAAACTGTTTCGCCTCGCCCCGAATACCGAGCGGATCGATCTTGGCCTTGTGGTGTCCTCGCGCCTGGTACGCCCTCACAAGCAGCTGAACTTTCAAATGGTTCATCACGTCCGAACCATGGCCGGGAGCCATGCCTAGGCCAGGTGTTAGGACACCACCGGTGGGGATGATGGTCGGGGGTGGCTGAAAAGCTTGAGACATGGGCATGTCGCCGTCTTCCATGTTCCGGAAGTAGACCTGCCATGACACGTGGACGCTGGACGGGTCCTGCTTCCATTGCATGTACATCTCGTCGACATAGTTCGCGGTATTACCCTGAAGGAAGGAGTCGTTGGGGTCCTATGGAGGTTAGCAAGGCTCGACACCGGCATGTTCGGGTCAGCTGCATACCACGCCCTTATCGGTATCCTCGCTTTCCACGGCATAATTTCTTTTCTGACTCCGCGATATTAAGGCAAGCGGACGACGTGTGGAACCAAGTGAGGTGGCGGAAGATGGGTGTAAGGATGAGAAGTTTGTCTTTCGACAGGAGTTCGTCTTAGCCGACAAGCGGCGCGAACAGAGTTGGGCTGCCTGGCGCAACATCTCGAGGTGGAAGAACGAATAGGAGATAGAGAACCGAGTCGATGATATTAAGGAGATGGATGGGGGGCCATTGAAGGCGGGTGATGGGAGAAAAGTGAAGAGAAAGAATTGAGAAACAAGATGACGGGTTTAGGGAAGACTGGAGTTGCTGCAAAATGATGCATCGTAATTGACGCAGTTCCGTTCCTTCCTTCCAGGATCCTGGCTCCTACCTCCTGGCCTGCTGCGTTTTGCGCCGCTTTTCCGCCCTTCCGCCTTACACAGGGACATCCGGTCCAATCAAACCGCGGGCAATTGTGGCGCAGAACCAATGTAGCCGTGCTTGGCAACAAATGCTCCACTCAGCCGAAGCTAGTCATGTGACTGGGCAGCGGCTGGGCACTTGGGCTGTGGTGACAGCTCGGCTGACCCTGAAAAAGGTTCGGCTCACCATCCTAATCGGGTTAGGTTAATCACGTGAGGTCAGTTGACCTATGTCTATGATCGACGTTGGTCGGCTCACCTTTCTGGATACACACATCTCAATTCAACCCCACACTCCCTCTAACTATATGGAAAATGCGTAAGATGTTTCAAACATGTTTGAAATATGTATATTAATAACCATGCTGTAGCTCAATCTCCAATCCTTCTATCTGAAGAGAATTCTGATGATGAGAGTAATGAAGTCGACCAAGAAGATCTCCAGCTTATGTTTGATGATGATTTCTATGAAGAATCACATATTGCAATTGAGGATGGTGAAGTAAGTATCTTCCTGCGTAATATATTTAGAACATGTTCTGAAGCTAATCAACTATATCGATCGTAGGTATCACTCGATCAGATCACTATTCTATCTAAAGCAGTATATCACCCTCTATCGACGCTCTATCTAGAGCATTGTGTTGTCCTACCAGACTACCCTAAAACGGATCCACATGGGTACACATATTGCATCAATGTTGAAGGTCAAAAAAATCCAACTAACATTGATGTAAGATATTCCTATCCTATTTTAAACGCTTTGAATATACTTCTAATCTATCTAGATCCAATATTCCTTCAAAAAAATACATCCCCCAAAGTCCATGACATGCACCTATCTAGGAAATATACGCGGGAAAAAGATCAAACTTGGCTGCACAGCAATAAAGCACTGTGAATTTGTTTATAATTTCTTTAAATCATATTCGCATATTTCACTTTCCGAAAATGACTGGACCTTGATTCAACAAAAAAGAAATCAGATTGATCGAACAGAACCTGATGAAAGGAAACGAAATTCAAACAGGTTTGAAACATATTCCGAATATAACTAGTACTAAACTGATAGTTAGAGATAGTCTTCTTATCGGGGCGCAACATCGTTTCCGTACTGGTGTGGCGTGTGAGGAACAGAACGATACGTGCAGCCTAGTTTTTCGTCAATTGGTGACACCGGTATGTAAATATATTTTGAATATATTTTAAACACGTTCTAAAGAGTTCTAAAATCTATAGGACATGGCTGGTATCTGCCATCCTTATCTGAGTTGCAGTAACTCCACCATTCAGACAATGAGTAGACACTTTATGAAGTATTTACCGCCAAACGGAGAATTCGATACTGGTCATCTTCGAAGCCTTATCGAGAAT